TCCGCAAAACATCGGATCTTCCTAATTCTAAGGTAAATTGACATACTGTACTCGTAAATTTCACGTCATGTTTCGTAAAACCTCTATATATCACTATAAAGGTTTATACTAAGAAAATATGAGCAATGATAAGTTAATTAGGGTTGTAATGTAATCATTGTTAGAAGAGAAATAAATACAAAGCAAGTAAACAGTGTAACAGCAAGACATTAAAAAAATATATGCTTTATAAGTTGACATTCCACAAGTACTTATTTATTTAATAAAGTACACCACATCATATACGACGTTTTTATACGTTATGGCAATTTACGTAATCATCTTTAGAATAAAATCAAATACAATATTAAGGTATAAAACTTACTGCTGTTTCCGAGAAGGTTTTTACTATTAAAGGTAAACCGGACTTGTCGTGTCAAGTTATAGCAAAATTTGAATTTTTATTTTATATCTTTACAGACTTCTTCACGCCACTGACTCAAAAGCTCAACCTTCCAAACGAGCGAACTTTAAGTTTAGTGCTTAATTGTAGCAATTCTTCATTCCACTGATTCTTAAACCGAATCAGTAGATTCGTTCTAAAGTTCACGAAACAGGGCTTTGATTTTATGTACAAAGATTGGACAACTGAAATTTCACAGTAAACAAGTACTTATTTATTAATTAAAGTTCACTAAATCGCATATATTTATACAGTATAAGACACAATCTATATATAAAATACATATTTCACTTCCAAAATATAGAAGAAAAAATTAACTAGATATTTTAGTTTTTAGTAATTATGTAATTTTTAATACATAATCGTCTAATGCGGAATAGGTACCTGATAGGTGCTTAAGAAGTTTTTTTTTAATTTGATAAACCTACCACCGAATATATCAACTCTATAAGTAGCGTTTATTCCGTTGTATTCTCGAAGAAATTGAATGAGAGGCGACTGAACTCCAGTATTTCCAGCGGAATTTAGAAGATTTTGTTGACCTTTTTATACCATCTATCCTTTAGAAATAATAAATGTGCAATGTTGAGTAAATATGAGGATAGGTTAAATTTTTATAACTTGGAATCTCTGAGTGTTCGTAGAGCAAACATCGACTTGCTATACCTATTTAAAGTAATTAACGGAATTGTGGATTGCCCAGAAATTTTAGAACGTTTATCCATACAAGTTCCTCGGGTCGGGAGTCGTTTGTACAATCGAAGATGTTTTCACATCCCACATTGTCGAACAAACGTTGGCAGAAACTCACCAGACAACAAACAAACAAACTTCGATTTAGGGTCCTTTAAAAAAACGCACCAACGCACTTGCGGGCCTTCTGGCAATGTGAGTGTCCATGGATATCCCTATAATCAGATGTACGATTTTACACTTCTTAGCTTAAGTGATTATATTAATATTGGTTTGTACGTGAATGGAACATTTTACAATAGAGCGTTGTAAGTGAACTGGCACGTATTCGGCCTGAAATCAACTAGGCATTGACAAAAGCCATATATATCATATATATATTAAGTACCAAAAATATAATTTCAATAAAACATGCAAAAACATGCTCCAATGTACAAAACATTATATAGATAATGTATGTACCGGCAATATTAATTTAAAGTGAAAACATTAAAATTTTAAGAATCTTTATCGTGCAACTAAATTTATTTGCCGCGTTGCTCAATTATGGATATCTCTTACAAGCGAATATTATTTTTGATCCACTCATACTTACGATACTGAAATTACTGAGCCATGAAAATATAATATCATAAAATGTCACGGAAGACAACCCTGTGTCCATCAACTCCGATCGGAACTGTTGTTGACAGCTACATGAGAACTGATAGAGGATTATTCTGAGCCTTTTTTAGATAACAAGGTTTTTTGCTTAGAGAAAAATATTTCGTAATTTAGTTATACAGTGTTCCTATGAAACAACAAACCTATTATTTGAACAATGAGTAGTTTAACACGAACATTGTTTTTTTTATAGAATAAAGGGGCCAACAGGCAGGACGCTCACGTGTTAAGTGATACCGTCGCCCATGGACACTCTCAATGCCAGAAGACTCGCGAGTGCGTTGCCAACCTTTTAAGAATTGGTACGCTCTTTTCTGGAAGGATCCTAAGCCGAATTGGTTCGGAAATACTTCAGTGGCCAGCTGGTTCCACATAGTGGTGGTGCGCGGCACGGTGCTACAGTTGGAATTTCGATCTGCCTCGACATACGATGATGAAACTCAGCTGCAGGTATCAATGCAAACAACTCCTCTGAACAATCTGTATGTTAAATGCGGTAGAAGATATGTAATATGTCGTTATTATAGTAAATCCCGATGAGGGACAGGAACATTATGAATCACAACCGTACCAGTCTTGCGATTCTGTAACTCACTTTACGATATCCTTACGAGTGTATACGTGTTTTACGTAACTCCAAAAAATACGAGCTCCTTCAACTAATCATACATGGCAAAGTGGCAGGTAGAAGGAACCCGGGCCGCAGACGCACGTCCTGGTTGAAAAACTTAAACTAGCCATGAAACTAGCGGCATCCAAAATTAAACTAGCCGTGATGATCACCAACCTTCGCAAGGAGATGGCACTATAGAAGAAGAAGAACCTTACGAGGTTTAATAAAGCTGACTGTAAACCCTATGTCATCAATACTCCATTAAGATGAATGCAGTTGTGTACTGTGAGAGCCTATTATCGGAACGAGTATACCCGTATACGGGTATGCCCAACCCCGTTCTATAGGTCGGACTTTGTAACAGCTCTGAAGTACTCTGCTAAAAGAGTGCTTTGATTGTTCCTGTCATCCTCAAGTCCACGCGTCAAGTACGAGTGGAGCCGCGAAAGCGCAATCCTTCGCAATCGTCCAAATAGGCGTTCAATCCTTTTTGACAAAAAAAAAAGAAGAAGGAAATAACCAGGTTTCCTTAGAGTTTATTTATCAATAAATATAATATAATAGATGCGGCATTTTTAATGACGTTTTAACATTATAGCTACATATATCATGTCTTTTTTCGTGAAATTTATCTAAACAAGTAACTGAAAACACACGAATTCGTGCCCCAATTTGATGTATTTTTGCTTCTGATTTACGTCACACATGACGTGAAATTTCGCGTTATGATATAAGTTTTTACAGCTCAGCATCAAGCTTACACATGTCATTTATTTTCCTTAGAAAGTTGGGTAGAAACTTTGCCAATTCAGATTTCTCAAGGCTCTTTGTAACGATAACTGCTGAGTGTTTTTGATTTACGAGTAAGTGTAAAATTAGCAAATTTCACTTTACAAATTACGTATTCGTAAATGTGTAATAATATATTAAGTCTAGTCTGTGCTTTATATCTTTCCTAATTAGGAACATGCGCACGAATGTTTATCCACTATGCTTCTTGGCATTCTACTAATAAAATGTATTTTATTTACATTATCATTACGCCAATTTCACATTTATTAAAATTAAATAGATAACTTTTAAAGTACGCGTTGAAAATATAACACCGCCCATATACGGAAATACGATACCGCCGCCCATGGACACTCAGATTGCCAGAAGGCTCGCAAGTGCATTGCCGGCCTTTTAAATTATATAATTATAATAAACTCTCATTTGATCCCAAATCAATATCTGTGAAACTCATAAATGACACATAATCAATTTCTGCAATTAATCAAGTTAACTGAATGATAATTGAATTAATTTCCATTTCAATTAAACGTTATCGTGTATATTGAAGAATGAATACTACAAATTATTATGCTAACAAAGTGCGGCCATTTAATAATTAATATTGTATAGTCTAATTGTACAGCTATTATTATATAGTCAGTTATAATAATAATAATAATTAACGAAATCAATAATACAATAGCTCAATATTGAAATTGGAAACGCCATTAGTATTAGAATTTAAAGGTCGTCGTTTTATTGTATTAAACTTAACGAATGGGCTACTAGAGTTTTCCATAGGAATATTTATATCCCATTATGACGAATAGTATTTTTGGTATAGAATTCGGGATTTGTAGGGTAAGATCAAAGTATTTTTTTCAAGGGTCGTGATAATAAAAACATCGTCTGTCTCACTCTCGCTCTATTTAATAAAGTTTAAAACATTTATCAACAATAAGATCACATTGAAGTTTATAATAAATAACTCTGGAACATTAAGTACTTTTTTAAATGAAAGTTCAACCATTTATTTAAATCCCTAAATCATCTTTAGATATTTATTGGTTAGGTTAGCAATCTCCCGTGCTATTATTTATAAATTAAATTTGTTTATCAACTAATGAAACTTGTTTAAAACTACAATTTATAAACTTCATTTAAAAGGTAAACATCTCAAAGTGCAACAAAATCGAATAATCTGAATAAAATCATAACATTGATATTTTTCTACAACAATTACGCGCTAGACAACCCTTTTCTACTTAACCTATAAAGCGGTATTTCAGAAATTTGTCATGGAAATCACAATTATTGACACTTTAAATATATAATTCTAAAATAATATTTACAATTTTCTTTTGTAATAAGTTAAGACAGTACACCAGTTCGAAAATAAAACCTTATATTTACATATTTCTTAATGTTAGCGTTATAGGAATTATCTTTAGGCCATTTTGGCTGGGCCGGGAAAGAAAATTCCCGGAAATGAGCAACACCAGTGTTTTTTTTTTCATCTGATTATTTTCTTTAACTTACCTCAAAGACACTCATTTCGGCTTTTTGTGTTCCTTTTAAATATAATCTTCCCCGGTTGGAACGTAATAAGATAGAATGTATACATAACATTTTTGCCACATATATCCACAGAATATTATTACAAATCAGAGGTATTGAAATAAACTAACAATGATGTCACAAAATTGTTACAAAAAGGCTAAAAATACTTTTGTTCATACACATCCATATTAGCTTGAGGCATAATTAGAATCGATTCGTAAAATTTACAAGTCCTTCAATGACTAAAAAACCCTTTCAAACGATGGAATCATTAAGCTTATCCGATTTGGACAACAGAGGAACGCTGCTATAATCTTTCAGAGACTGATTTCCCTTTCTCGTTCCATTATCAAACGAATTCGCTGTGCCCAATTTCGGTATCCAATTATTATTACCTATTTTATTCGATAAATGATTTATTGGATTTATCGGAGCATCCTTCAATTTGACTTTTGGTTGGCTGTTCTGATTCAACGAGTTATGGTTTAATGAATTCACGTTGAGTGAAATGGAATTTGTGACGCTTAATTTATCATCATCGGTATGATCACCATTTGTAACGGGGTCTGTTGGATCTGAGAGTTGCCTTTGCATTTTTACGATTTGGAGTAATGGTTGAGCTTCCTTTTCCAATCTGGTGAGGTCTGGTTTTTGCTGGAATATGCCTGAACCTCGTCTGCTTGATGATCTGGAACTGTGCTCCAACCGATGTTTAAATGGTGTTAAGCGGGACAGTGAGCTACTGTTGTTTGATTGCGTTTGCAGTTTGACTAAAGGTTTGTCTTTTGGTGGGTTATGATTCGGTTGATTTGGGTCGTAGATTTCGCCCAATAACCAGTATGTGACTAGAACTCCCTTGCCCTAAAAATAAAAAAAATCGTTTAAATAACACGCTGTTTGATACTAGATAAAGTACAATTTCTTATAAATACTTTTCTAAACTTCTATTTCTTACATGTCATAAAAATATGATTTATTAAAGTCTCAAAACCGTCTTGATTTATTTTCTCGCGTCGTATTTTTTATGGTAATGGAAAGTCAAAAAACAATTACGTCGAGCAACAGACATATACCAAACGCAAATTACCATAAATTTTACTTTAAGCATAAGAGATATGTATTTTGATAAATTCTGGAATGGCAACGATAGTATTGTGTCTACATTAGATACTGCCTTTAAACTTGCTTTGATTACTTTTAAGTTAAAATCGTAATTATGATGAAACGTTATCGTGAATGATATTTCACGTATTAGCAAAAAAATATACTATCGTGAATTTATGACAATATAAACTAGGTTTTTTGTTTCTCAGTAGTTATTAACAGAATTCAAAAAAACAGAAGGAGGTTTATATCAATTCAGTTTAAAAGTTTAGCAATCAGATAGTTTTTACTAACCTATATTCATATATCTCATGAAAAACTGAAAACTCACGCCACCGCGTGATGAATACTCGCTTATAAAATTCATGTACGATTTTAATACCCATTTTATTTTACTAAACTAACACTTTATATACAAATTCCCTTAGGCAATCAATACATTATATACAAGTAAAACTAATAAAAATATTATTACTTAATTGTTTTTAGTGCATTTCGATCAAGTTATTTATGTATATATTTGTAATAATATTATTGATTTTAATGCTTAAGTTAGTATATACAAACTGATTTATTTCAAAGTTTGTTTTAAGATTATAATAAAATACCGCAAAGAACAACTAATTTCGAAATCAAAAGCTTCGAACAAGCCATTATACAATAGTAAGTCAGAAAAATTTATTGTATTACTATAATATACTGGAAATAAATAAATATAGGTACGTGACAACGAGAATTGTGGACCCACTTACGACAAATACGATTGGATTTAAAATTCAAATGGCTGATGTAAGCGTGACTAGAGTGCTCGTATACGTTTTTATATTTTTTTAAACGTTCATTTCTAAAATAAGAAAGCTATATATGTATTTATTTTTAGATTTGTAAGTTCGTTTTGAGAATAATTTTATAATAGGGAAATGAAAAAAGACGTCTCTTTTAAAAACCTGAACTTTAATATTTTAATATGTTCTTAGTTAGTAACATTTATTGGTTCCTTTTTGTTTCATTAATTCACACATTCATTATTTTATTTCACAAGGTTAGGTGATATTTGTATTCACCATAGAGAGTGTATTTAGTGTATAAGATTTTTGCTTTTTCTATATCATTCATTCATCATTAATAATATATTCGCTATTGGTGAATAAAAGATACTTAATATATTTGAAGATATCTTAAGCCCTTAGTAGATCTCAAGTTTTACAAGGAAACAATATGTTTTTAACAAAACTCTTACCTTCATAGCAACTTCTCCTCTGCACTCTAATTTAAAAGTGCCAAATGTGTCCAATAAAGCTTTGGTTGTAGGAGACACGTGTATCTTTAACGCTTCACCATTGGACTCCATTCTGGAAGCTGTGTTTACGGTGTCCCCGAATAAGCAGTAGCGAGGCATCTTCAGGCCTACGACACCAGCTACGCAGGGACCTAGACATAATTATAAAACATTAATTAATGACCCCGGAGCTTTTTATCAATTATTGCCTTGTAATCCAAGTTAGCAAGTTCCTTAGTCCTACCGCTTAATATCACTTTCGTACGTCAAAAACATATTAGATTTGACATATGGGTGTGATATGTGGTGCATTCCAAAACTATCAAAGTATTTTTTTACTTTACTTTATAGAAACTGTATACTTAACAGTTTCTATAAAGTTACTTTGTCAGCAAAGAAGTGCGTAGTAATTAAGTAAAATGCTAAAGCAGACCGTTTTTATTACGGCTAACTTATAACTAACTAAGCTAACTTAACCTTATACAAAAGAAAATAAAAGATATTCCAGATGTACTACGTACATCGTACGTAGGTAACACTGAAAATGTTTAGAACTGGCCAGTTTGCTAATGAAAAACATTGCTAATGAAAACTTTTTTGGATTCCAATTTTAGAACTCTTTGGTAACCTAATGTAGTATATTGCACTCATTTGTCATTTGTTTTTGTGAATTGGCGGCAAATCTAAAACTCTTGTTACACGTGAAAATGAACCTAACGCGAGAAAATTATCGGTCAATGATTTATTATGACTTTCGTTGTGGGCTTACTCAACAACAAAGGAAATAAGCTGCGATTAGCATTTCTTAATGAAGTCCCATCTCGTGGCACTATTACCAATTGTTTTAACGAGTTTAAGCGTGGACGTAGCAATCTCAATGATGATCCGCGTGAGGGACGTCCTTTAACAGCGACTACTGAAGATAACAGTGGTTTTCTGAGTGGTTCCATCGAATGCGACGATGTGTAGAGAGGAACGGAGATTACTTCGAAAAACAATAAAAGTATTGGCAACTTTCTACATTAAGCCGTTTTTCATTTTCTAATCATTTTGGGTGTTACCTTGGTAACTGGTACTAAATGTATTGACAACGTAGAACACAAAACTGAGAAAGGTAAAAAAATCTTCAAATTTAAAAAGGCATATGAAAATGGCCAAAGGACTGAGGAAACATTATTATGCATAGACATATTAGCATCACCTTAACATGCGCATATGCAAATATTGATGGCATAACGCCATACATAAAATCAGCATAGTGTTAAAGGGGTACGGTATTTTTAAACAAAGTTTTGCGCATTTTTGTTCACCGACTCACAACATTACTATACGTTTTTGAGCAATCTAGAATACCTATTTTAGATAAACAGGAGTCACGAATTACTATTACGTGAATGCAGAATAATGGCGAATATATTTTCAAATACTTGTATAGGCCAAGTGATTACGTAAGGCCAGATATTTCTGACAATTTGCCAAAAAAATATTTTTCACTGTTTGAGCCATTTGTTACGCATTACATTTGTTTTATAAAGTTCAAACGTATTTTATTAGTTTCCATGGACCAAAAATTCAAATTCAAATTCAAAAATCATTTATTCACGTAGGTAACACAATGTACCCTTGTGATTCGTCATTAAAGAAATAAATATTAATGCTTCTAATTTTACATTTACTGCCAGTTCTCAAATCAAGGGCGTAGAACGGAAGAGAAGAACTGGCAAAAAACTCTCCGCCACCCTTTTTAATCGCCATGTTTTTTTTTTTTTTTTTACACAACGTTTGTAAGGAGCTCTTCATTCATCACCTTAATAGATTTTGATAATACTTCAGGCACCAAGGCTCCTTAGTTTATAATAAAGTAAAAGTTTAAGCAATAATAGAATAAAAAGAATATATTATTTATACTTAAATCTGAACGAGCAAGATAAATACTAGGAAATGCAATTTGTATAAATGTTACGTATAGTCAAAATTATTTAAATTATAAACATAATAAATTTTCATACAATCGCTATCGCTACCTTCTTTAGCTAAAGAATGAAAAAATGCAAATATTTCACATTGATGTCTATGACGTTCAAGTTCTAGTAGTTCCTTACCAGAATGCAATCCAATCCTAAGTTTCAGCTGATCCTGCGGCCGGTGCCGTATTCTAAAGCGCCTCACAGCGTCTAGCAAAGCAAGCGCCATCCTCGCGACTTCACACGCATGCCTTGTTCCATTTCGCTCAGGTAAACCCGATACTACCATGTAAGCATCTCCAATCGTTTCCACCTAGAGAAAATTTTACAGATATAAGCTCTAAATAATAAAATAAAAAATCAATGGCGCTACAACTGTTTTAGGTCTGGGCCTCAGATTTCTGTATCTGTTTCATGATCATTTGTTAATCTAATAGGCAAGTATTAAATAGCCTTCTGTGCCTGACGCAGGCCGTCGACTGTTTGGGTCTAAGGCAAGCCGGTTTCCTCACGATGTTTTCCTTCACCGTTCGAGCGATTGTTAAATGCGCACATATAAAGAAAGTCCATTGGTGCACAACCGGGGGTCGAACCTACGACCTCAGGTCGACATGAGAGTCGCACGCTGAAGCCACTAGGCCAACACGGCTCTAAAACAATAATTATAAATAACAGCTCATATTGTAGGTGCTATTATATTGCATTAATTCCACCTTAAGTTAATTCGAACCTTAACTAATTTATATGCTGATTGTTTTATAAGTTGTTCGTGTATAAACTTTATAAGACAGAAGACATATATACCGCCCTATATTTGGTTTGTTTAATAAGGTCACCGTCCTCCGTCTAGATATTAATATTTGTTCAACGCCCTAATTCTATTTAAAAATATATTAATTGCGACAAGTCTTTATTTTGGTAATTGATTTTTTTTAATCAAAAGTTGTATCTGTATTGTGTCAGTACAATGTTGCGCCTGGTATTTTTAATATAAGAAAACTTGTATTAAACATAAAACCCCACCTTGTACACGTCGTAGTTCTCGACTATAGAGTCAAAACAGGTGTATAGATCGTTCAGAAGATCAACCACTTGCATTGGAGTTGAAGAAGCAGACAAAGATGTGAACCCAACTATGTCGGAGAAGTATATGGTGACTTGCTCAAACGTCTCCGCTACCACTGACTGACCGTTGATAAGTTGAGATGCCACGGACCTAAAAATACATTATTTACCTATATTTTGGTTTTAACTTTTCGAAAATTTGTGGACAAACAAACTCTTCCGAAATTTAGCATTCGGGCTTGGAAGTCTTAAAAGAAAATAGATATATTCTCAAATACTATCAAATTCCAAGAAAACATATATATAGGTCGAACTTATAACCTCCTTTTTGAAGTCAAGTAAAATGTAACCTCAATTAAGGTATGTACTACGGTACAACCCGGGGAATAATTCGAACTAACGATGGATCATTTGATGGTGATTGGTCAACCGTTTGACCAATCTCAATCAAGCAAACTGATATTTTACGCCCGAACCCAATAACCAATCCATCAATCCATAATCCACCATCTGAGATAGTAGTCTTAATCCAAATGTTGTAACAATAGTGCCAATAACCAATCGACGGATTGTAATAGCCATCTGTCGATACAAGCTATCCATGGGACGTGTCTGTGGATAGACCTTTGTATGAAAATGACAGTTGACGAAAGCTCGATATCAACAGTTAATTATTTTAACAGATTTTAACTTACACCAGTTTTTTAAATAATTAAAAAAACTGTTTGTCTGTTTTAAACATACACATGTATGTTTTAATGTTATTTGTACGGTTTCATTTACTTTATTTGGTTTACATTGATAACCAAATATGAGTAAAAACTCGGTAAAATGGAACGACAAAGAGCATATTATCCGTCGCCAAAAATGGATTGACTTCGTAGGGTTTGATTATTGGGATGCAGATAGGAGATCGATCGACTGTCACGGTCTGATCTCAGATTGTTTTCAATCTGAGATTGTGGATTCATTATTGGGTTCGGGCGATAGAGAATTAGATTTTTAACTCCTACGGTTTATGTTAAAATTATCTTAGTCCCGTGAAGAAATTTGTATCTTGCTTGACTTAACTATAAATGTGTAGTATAAACTAATGGTAACATTCTAAAAGAAAATAGTAATCTTATACTAATTATATACTCGTACATACACATATATACTAGTTACATCTATTGTTAAAGTTCTCAAAGCGAAACGTTTATAAATATTGTAACTTCACAGTTATGTAAAACATAGGTATTGTTAATTCAACTTACTTTGGCAACAACTGGTACAATAGTTCTTCACATTTCTTCTTTTCCTCCAAATAATCCTGTGTTCGTTCGCTAACTAATGTCTCTAAGTTGTTCGCGTATTGTTCCATTCGAGATAACAAGTTGTCGAGAATATTACTGCTTTCTTGAGACCTGAGAAAGAATGATATACTTATATAATATATTTTATTTTAATTTAATTAAGAAATGAATAAATATGCTTAATGTTGTATGGTAAGTTGTCCTTATAATTATTATAAAGATTTACAGTTTTGACGCCTAATATTATAAATAGATGAGTTTTGTGCATACGTATATAATATTAATAAGTAAATACATATATCCGAAAACATGATTTACTGTTTATAATACAAATCGTGAAACAATAATATATTAGATAAAGCTGATCAATGAAAAGGACACAGATATTTGAAATGTCCTATAAATGAAACAATGAAGCAACTTCGAATCTTCATTCTATTAACATCAAAATTTTATTAATATTTCTCCATCAAAATTTTATTAAGCTAATAATTAATTTTATTCATCTCAATATTGTAAAGGTAAGAGGTTACTTGAACGAAATTGCCTGTTCCACTTGGCTGAAACAGGATTCAATATAAGTTAATATTGCATTTAATAGAATAAAGTTTCTTCGTAGCGAAGGGAGTTTCACTGAACCAAATCACTTCGTAACTCAGTTCTCAAGAGGAATTGTTATCTTCAATAGGGTGAAAGGTACCATTGATATTTTGGGAAATGTTTGAAATTCAAACTATATTAATTCAAAGATTGGTCGCATTATTACAATTATTTATTACACAATACAAATAGCGAAACTCGCGATAATATTTGATATAAAGTACGCGAAATTTCGTTTAAATTACCCGAAAAAAATCAATTGAAATAATAGTAAAATTGTAATTTTTTAGGACTTTTTCATTCGGTAACGGAAATGTCATACTTTTTAAACTGTACAATTGTACTGAAACAAAACAACTAAATGTTAAAACCAAAATAATTTCATATGTTTATATCAAAAACCTAAAAACTTACTTATTAAGTCGTCGTATAGCATGTTTCAAATGGGCAAAGTCTGGTCTCTCAGCTGGGTCTTCAGCCCAGCATCGTCTCATCAACTCTGTAGCATCATCAGCCTCACATGATCTATATTGGTTTGTGTTGGGTCGGAAACCAGCACTGCGCACTGCTTCGATTATTTCTTTAAAAGTAAAGATCAAAAGCTTTAAATTTCAAATGCGTTATACATTCAACTGAGCACGTAAACTTGTTGATTATCGACAAATAAATTTTAAAACTATTTAAATACACATTGCGTAACATTTGTAATCATAGTTTTTAAAACTAAAATCTTATTATTAAGTCCTTAAAATGACAAAATATTAATTATTTATTAAGGCTTAAAGTACGTAAATGAAAAAATCTATTTAAATGTTTATTAGTTTAACAACCACAATATAAAAACAACAGCACACTTTAACAGCCACAAAATTCTCTCAAATGCGATTTAAAAACAATAAATCAACAAATTTGAATTATGCAAAAATTTGACTTGTTTAACTTGAAAGCCAATTTACTACTAAAAATATTTTTCAAAATGAATAGAACTTCAAAACTCTTTGGTATTTTATATAATTCTGTTAATTTTGCATGAGTTTACTTCTCATTTGCATTTAATAACATAAACGCAGTCAAAACCAATAAACACAAACATTGCCAATATTGACACAATCTCGTACCAGGATTGTGAAACATTACATTTTATTTTATAGCTCATAAACTCTCTAATGTTCTTCTTTCCTATCTATGTAGACCAGGAACTCGGTACAAAAGAATTCCGTTGTCATAAACATTTTAAGATCGCGAACGACATTCCGCAAATATGGTTCTCTGTAATTTCTTTGATCATAAAAACTGTGTCTAGTCTTGATAAAATTTTATCTTCGCTAATATATGGGTTTCCTATAGAACGCGCAAAGAAAAAATGTAGTCCTGCGATATCAACCCTGAGGTCGGGCGTTTGAACCCTGGCTGAGAAGTAATGTTTATTGATTTTATATACCGAATTAACTTTCGCTCCTTACAAATCTGGTGAGGAAATCGGCTGAACAACCATCCAATGAGAAATAAATAATAGTGATCCAGAAACGGGTCCACCCTTCGCCATAATATATTATGTAACGCGCGATGATTGATCTCGCGCGAAGGATATATGATCAACTCTTCACTGTATCAAAACTAGTCATCGCATTTCTCTTTTGTATCATATTGAAAAGGATTTTATTGTGCACTTACGAGTACATTTTAATGCGTCAATGTTTTGAACTACATTTGGTTTTTATACGGAATAATTTTACCATTGTATTTAAGCATTAATGATATGTATAGTTATCCCATGAGAGTATGAGTGTTATTGAATAGAAAGTTCTATTGTGTCTCTTCGCACATAATTGGGCACTACAATATCTTCTGCAAACATAGTACGTCTCAAAAGAGATAAGCCACCATGCCCAAATCGGCATCGGCCATAATTACTTTTAATGATATTTCTGTATGTATATTACACGGTATTAAACGAAAACGTTAGATATTTTTAAGTACGCAACGGATAATGTGATCATCACTAGACATAATAATTAATTTTAATTTAGTTTATATTATTTTACATCAGGTTAAACAAAGTCATTTCGTAGTCATTATTGTTACTGGCGTGTTAGGATATATTAACAAAATTAAGGCTGTATCGATAAAACGTCGAGATTTCATTCCTTTTCAATTCTTTGTATGCCCAAGAAACTTTTACGTCTACCTTTATATTTCCCTGGAGGCTGATTTATTAACCTTTTCACGTTAACAGCTTTTATAAAGTTCGAAAGGTTTTTGAGTTTTTAAACACAGTACAGGCTTGAATATAATTTTATAAAGCTTTAGATCTTTTAAATAGGTAAAGTTTTTTCTTTCGTACAAAACGTAACAATCCAGTGGGGCTACAAGTGCTAATACACCTTATATAGGCCTTAGATTACATCCATTTCTTTGATCATTTTTAGATTTTTCTCACGCGTTTGAGTCATGTTGTAATCACGTAACCCCTAATAGATACTGGAACAATTTCTGCATCGGTTTCATTGACAATATTTCTTGAGACAAGCTTTGGTCAGTGATTTGTACCTGACTCGTGTGTCCCTCAATTCCCTCTCAATGTTTTCTTTACCGTAGAAGCGAGTATGAGTTGGGCGTAAAAATCTATTGATTAACTAATTTTATTTTAGATTTTATCCACACATCATTTTAATTTACACTACAACTACAAACAGAACTTTCACTACAAACAAATATGTTAGAGAATATGTCGCTATCAATTACATATTATTGTTTATGATATTGCTTTGTTTATGATATCCTTTAAATTTCTTCTGTACAAACATTACCTGTCCACATCGTATCCCTAACTTTAATAATACCTACTAACTGACGTGAGACTGATCTTAAATTAAATTCTGAAATTAAATTATAATGATTCATGTGCATTTTTTTTATTATTATTTTTTGTTTTTTTTTTCATGTATCCTTTATTAGTTTAGTTTCTTTTTCTGAACAACTATATGTAATATCTGTATTTTTGCACTTCTTGCCTACCTTATGTAATTTAATATTATTTTTTTTCTTTTCTCACAGTGGTTGCCTGGAAGAGATCGCCCGTAAGCGATAAGGCCGCCAGTTGCTCTCCTTTTTATTTAATTATGTCAATTGTACTATATTAATGAATATGCAACGAAGTGTTAATAAATAAATAAATAAAATTTGTTGCTGTGTTATTATTGCGAAATAAAATAAGGCAAACTTAGTCTTATTAAGACGAAACTTTTTCATAGAGCATTACCAATGGTAACAACATTCTTTTTTTTAACTTATACAGTTAAAATTTTCACATAAGATAAATTTTAACAAGAGTGCGTTTGTCTTAATTTATTAAAGTAACTAGATTTCCAAAGCTATTAATTATACTATTCAAATGGCAAGGTTTTAGATCAAAGTTCCGAGTTGATTAGTAAGCATGTCATGTGCCTCAGATTGCAGTCTGAAAGGCGGCCTGATTACTGTAAATTACATTTAATATATAATAGGGTCTCATTACACTTAATGTTGATAAGTCAAATAATTTATTATAGAACAGAATGTTACGTGATACCGCCGCCCGTTTACACTCAATGTCAGAGCGTTCGCGAGTGCGCTGCCGGCCTTTTAAGATTTGGTACGCTTTCTTGAAGGTCCCTAATACGCAAATTCAGTTCCGTGGCTAGTTGGTTCCACATATTGCCGCCACTTTTTGTTACCACTTGTATATGTCGATTGATATTAAAATACTTATTAATTTAATTAACCTATTGAGGCATGGGCATGTTATTGCATAAAATTACGATAATAATGTTTAGAAATTTTGTATGGAAGTGTTTGAACGTTATTTTAACTCAAATTACATTCGATTACCTCCACTTTCATCGTCCCTTCAAAATCTCCTACTTAATCTTGTGTTTGTTATCCATAATGTAATTTATTATGTTTGTTTAGCATATATTCTACGACATTCATTTATTTTAAAAATACCTTTGTTACCATACATTGCCTTAATGGCTCTTACTATACTCACTTACACTAATTTTTGAATTTATTTTTTTTATACTTTAAACAGTCTATGTATAAAATATATTATTTATAAGTCAAATTATAACAAATAATAATTATTTTAAGTTCATAAAAATAACTTAACTAAAAATAACTAACCTTTTGGTGACATTTCAATGCCGGGTCCAAGCCAGAAAACTCCCTGGCGATTGACTATTTCATGCATAATGATAGCGAACGAATACACATCCCCTTTTTGCGTTCCCTCGGGAGGTGGATCCGCCATTCTAAGCAGCTCAGGGGCAGTCCAAAGTAGACCTAGTTAAAAATTTATAGATTATATAATATGTTATGCTGAATTAGCCAAGACTACATCGATATTAAATAATGTGTCAAAAGAAGAGTTTTGTAACATAAGTTAAGTTACATATATATTATATTAGTTAATAATTAGAAGCGTAAATATTATCAATCATCTTACACTTGAAGACAATAATTGTAAAACGTCACTCAATCAGTAATAAATAAGTCCTTTCGTTTTTATAAACTAATAAATTGTAACATCACATTCTTGTTTCCGATAATGTACAATAGGTCGACATCGCAATCCTTTATAGGTAATAGATATCACTTACTTAGAAGAACCCATAAATAAGTTACAGTTTTTGTTAGTTCAGCGTTGCAACCCCACTACCCTCTAATTGTATGCTAATCCCTTGTTTTAAACGATTAAAGTGAGTTGACACCTAGCTTGAAACAAAGTGTTTCATTCATTTGAGCTTCCGTTCAACAACAAATTTTGAAATTTCACGGTGTCATTAGTGCATAGTTAAACCTCCTGGTTTTCAAATATAGAACATAGCACGAATGTTATAATTGCCTTAACGGATTTTGTATAAATTTATCACGTGGTTTGGACATTTTTACGTCTTCAACAAATCAAATTACTTGCGTTTGATTTATTGTGTTAACGTGACATTTAAAAATCTCTAGTTTACTTACGTGTCCAATAGCTATGGGCTCTTTTATCCTTCTCAGAAGTCCTCAAGGCGTTAAGGCCGAAATCCGTAATCTTCAGAACGAACCGGGAATCTACCACACAGTTACTAGACTTCAAAGCGCCGTGTGCGCGGATATCCGTACCATGAAGGTAATGCATACCCTGAACAAGATAAGATTATGTGTAAAAACCTATACACGACAAGCGTTCCCAGCATTAACTATTCTATTGTTTCGTCAGCTGTCAACAGTGCAGATATTTTTACACATTTAGAATTCAAAATACGAGATACTATTTCAATTATTTTTATCTTCAAATACACTCACGAAGCGCTATTTCTTTGTCATATAAACTTTTCTATTATATATACTCTTTTGATAAACTAATAATAATTAATACTTTATTTTCATTACGAGAAAAAACAAAAGAAGACACATGAATGGGCATATACCGCTATAGTACAGTATATTTCAGAGATAGATGTTCTTATAGGAGATGTATAATAAATATATAATATTAAGGACAACCTATGGGCATCGTAGTAGTGTGAAAAGTAAGCGCGGATATTTTTTTTATTCGAATTCAAAGCCTCTACATTTAAATTGTTTTAACTTAGCTGCGGAATTTGATTTCCTCATAGTTAAATACTGATTTAAGGTAGTTCAGCACAGCTTCAAATCCGATGTATCTATTGTTTTATAATTTTCTATTTACTAGCTAAGTAATTGAAATAGAAAAACACTTTTTTAACGGATTTGAAGTTATGTTTTATTATAAATTTACAATTATTTTACATAATTTTAAATTTAACCGACGTTTCGCGTGCTTTACAGCGTGCGTGGTCACGGTGACTGAAGACTAAAGGAATTGAATGTCAAAAAGTATCACAGCTGTAGAAAGAGTTGTGTTATCTGTATTTATTTCCCCGGAGTTGGTATCGACTAAAAGATAACATCAAATCCGTTAAAAAAGTGTTTTTCTATGTCTAAAAGTTATGTCAATAAAAGACAATACTATAGCTAAGTAATTGTTTACTCTCAACAAACGCAATAATTTATTTTTAAATCCATATATTTTTTTATATTTATGTCAATAAATGTCGCATAAAACCCTCTTTTCCTCTAAAGGCGCATACTTAACACAAGTTTCGCGTAAGCCATATTTAACGAACTCTAACAAAGTTATACCCAAAGCCGTAGCTACAAAGAATTGTTTTCGCCACAACAATACGTGTCGACAAGAGAATTAAGTTATGTTGTTTGCTTGAATAACAAATACAAAAGAAACAATTAATTTGGGAGCGCGAATGTATTAGATATTTCTTTCACAATGAAAATGGGTCTAGATGAGAGTGATTTGTTTGCAGACTAAAATCCTATTGTATCTAGGCCATGTTTTCTAAAGACAATATATTATCTATGTGTACAACTATTTATGGAAATATAGAACCATTTGCTTTGTATGTGTATTAGACATAATGTTCTCTCTAGCATTCATTAATTCCTATATTAAGAAATCTATCTATGCAGCGTCAATATCATTTGATTTTATTTTTATATTATTTGCAACACCTTGCCAACACTCGGCACACTGGTACAATGGTATATAAAGAACAATAGAATACAAGATTTAAGTGATAAGCACTTATATATATAGGCTAACATAACAAACAAGAAGGGAAAAGAAAATACATCGATTCATATATTATAAAAAATAATTGATTTCAAAGTGTTAGGGACTCTCTACACTCTTAGAACTATGGATATCCAGAACTTGGTCGTTTATCAAAATGCTCAATCTGGATATCGGTGAGGTGTGACTAAACGTGTTCTTCTAAAGGGTGGGCCAAATGGGATGATGGGATGCCTCTAAGGCAGAAGTTGGAATTATCAAGAGGATACATGAAGTTTAAATTTAGTTAGTAGGTTGGTGTAATCAACCTACTAACGATTCTCCAATGACAACATCTTAAAGCGCTTTAGTCTGGTTTCAAACTAAAGCATATTAAGATGTTAGATCACAGATCGTAGATGCATCATTTTTTTTTGAAAGCGCTCGCGTCGCTACAAATGCGTTGCATAATGCGGCCTCCATACAACAGTACCGTATTCTAGTATGCTGCGCACGAGACTGTTGTATAATATTTTGTTTTTATGTTAGTGTTTGTGAGAAATAAACCAAGCATATTCAATAATAATAATTATTATCAATCATATTAATATGAATAAAATAAGTTTATAGATACAGTACTTTTGTATTTATTCCTCTTTTCAGCAGTAAGATTATGTTTGCATAACCTAGAAATTTTCTAAAAAGTTATTTTTTTTAAAGAGTAACAAATAATCAAGTGTGGATGGAAGTTATGAACTTTTCCCTACCTCATTAGTGCTTACAGTGTTTAAAATACGTGTAATGTCAGAACAGTTTATTAAATCTTTGAAATTGCTAATAAATTTTAGAGAGAAAGAACGGTGACACTGAAACGATTGATAGGTCACAGCCACAATTAAAACAAAATGACTTGTTATTTAATTGAAAGGTTTAATTAAAGCATTTAAGGATCATTCTTGTATTGCAAAGTATAACTAGTTTATTGCTTGCATTTGTGGTAGGATTACGTTAGATTACAAGAGAGGGATATTTTCGGGGTCCTATTTAAATAAAAAGACGGCATATTTAATAAAGTACAACAACGCATTACAACATTACACAATCTTATTCTTGAAACTCCTATTCATAAAACTGAATTTTATCACTCCTCCTTTACTGTGCAAAGTATCCTGCTATGGAATTCCCTACCAAAAGAAATTAGACGAGCTCAGTCCTTAAATCTATTTAAAGAGCTTCTTTTTGATCATTTTCTTTCTGCCTCGTAATTAGCTCTGCTTATATGTATTAATTATTGTGACTCTGTTAACCTTCTGATTGTATTTGAAATTTTTGTTTCTACATATTTTTATTTATTACTAGCTGGCCTGGCGAACATCGTACCGCCTAACAGTCGATTCTCAATTTTTTTTAAATACTTATTCTGCTATTCGGGACACCGGTCTAGCTAGTAAGATAAAAAAAAGAAAGTTGATAAATACATTATGTCAAAAAATAAAAATTTACCTTCCCGGAACCCCTCCACTAACACTTGAACTTTATGATATGGTATTAAAGTTCAAATTGACTTTTAAGTATTATTACGAATATTTTGTATGGGAATATAGAAAAATGTTGTTTTTAGACTTTTTCACTCAGTTTTTTCAATTTTTTCTCTTCGTAAGAACCATCCTCGTACTTCAAGGAATATTATAAAAAAAGAATTGGCCAAATTGGTTTAGGCGTTGTTGAGTTATGCGCTTACCAACACATTTTGCGATTCATTTTTATATTATAGATTATTGTTATTTTATCTTTTGATTTCACTTTATTTTATTTTAGTTATAGTAACGTGTTATTTTGAGTTTTTAACTTTTTGTTGTTAATAATTTTTGCATTACTTTTCTATCCCTCTGTAGATGTTTCTTTTTCATTGTTCCACTTTAGGGTTGCCTGGAAGAAATCGCTTGTTAGCGATAAGGCCGCCCGATGCCTTATGACTTTTGTAACTTGCTTTTTTTTATTTTTGTTATTGTATGTTTTTGATTAAGGTAATAAAGTATAATTAAATAAATAATTTTTTTTAACAATTTTAATATTAAATAGATATTTCACAACGTACTCACCCTCACAATATCGTGCATCAGGCTAACTTTGAACATCCAATCCAGCTTAATTGTATCATTTTCCAGTATATCTTGCAATGATCCCTTAGGACAGTACTCGGTTAAAAGGCAGCAGTGTGGGGGATCGACACAAGCTCCGTAAAATCTCGCTAAATGGTCATGTTCGAGGTCCTTCATTTTCTTAAGCTCCAGGAGTAAAGGTCGGGTCAAATCTATGCGTTGTTTGTCGACCTTTTTAATTGCAACCCGACAACCTTTGTAAAAGGCGCAAGGAGCGTAAATTTGTCTATCACCAGCCAGTGACGTGCCTTCGTCTGAGTAAGCAGTCTGTGAACAGGTTTCAAGTTTAAATTTCGAATTATTTTAATTGTTTTTCGACAATCGAATAACATAGGTTGTTTCAACAGGCCTTTAGGGCTAGTGGTCCAAGCGGTTGTCTGGATAATAGAGCCCTATTATTATCAATTTTAGGCCCTCAGGCCGAATTTATAACAATTTATTGAGTAGCGTTTTATCTACAAAGAGGATTCCACAAACGTTTTACGTAAGCTCATTTCAGTGGGTACTGACGAGTTTAAATGTTCACTGAATTAATGGAAAGAACAGGTTTTATAAAAGATAATAGCCTTTAGAGCTTGATAATTATTTTTAGAATAGTTTAATTACTAAGTAATGAGTATATTCTTGCTATGTAATATTACGAAAGCGAGGAATAACTTATATTTACGAAACACTTTAGAATCTATTACAACATAATAAAAAACTATTTTCGAAGGGCGTGAGTTATGTAACCCACATTAGTTAAGTTTCATATATCTATTTTAGTTAATAATTAGAAGCGCAAACCAAACGTTAGCAATCGTCGCATACTTGAAACCAAAATGAGCTCTTTAGTTTTTCCCACATTCATTATTATTAATGAAATAATGAAATAATGCAATATAACATTCTCGTTGACTACACTTATATTCTTTATAGGTAACAGAAGTGTTACTCAGTTTTAAGAAACCTTTAATAAACCAAAATAGTTTTTTATTAGCGTAGCAACCCCACTACCCCTAATGTTATGTTAGTTATAAGCTCATTTTTTAAACGATTAAATCCAGTTGACACCCAGTTTCAAACAAAGAGTTTCATATAACATACATTTGAACATCCCTTGAACAACCGCCACCGTTTTTGGCACAAATAACAATACTCAAAAATCGTATCCCATTTAAATCCAATCTTTCACTTTACAACGCGCTTTGCGAGTCAGTCACCAATTACGGTCTAAGTAGCTACGGTAGAACTTATCCAACGTATCTCAACCGAATATATAACCTCCAAATGCGAATCCTCAAACACGTTGTCTCGAGAAATGTACTCATATAAAAATGAAGAAAGAGGAGTTTTAAACACTGTAAAATATTGCCCATATCAGAAAAAGTTAATAAATGTCTTCTAGTCGAGCACTTTTTTCGAGATGACATAAAAAAACGAGTGGAGCATGACGTACAGACCCGAGCGGTAACGCAAGCTCAGCTCTGTACATCGAGAGCAAACAACGTATACGGCGAGAGAACGTTGAGGTATTTGCTACCGCGGCTAATAAATGGTCTACCCAATCACATATTAGATTGCCTAAAGCCAACCAACATAAACAGTAAATTAAAAAACTACTTTTATATGCATTTGTCGCGCTCCTAAACAAGACTGATATGGTTACATCAATACAAACCACAGCGGTTTTCTTATGTAACTTATTATGATTGTATTATATTTTTTTGGAAAATAAAGAAATTTAAAAAAAAAAACTAAACTTGTGGTAATAGTTATTTAAATACGTTTATAAAGATGACTCACCCCTGAGCTATACCTTCGAGCGAGGGAATGTAGACTGCCAGGAAACCTACTCGCACCAATGAGTACGTCACTCCAACCAACTCGCCACGTCATCATAGCTATTTCAGCTTCTAACTTGTAATGTCTGCAATACGTAATAAAAATAAATACACAACTCGAACTTTTTTGTAAGTGTCAAATTTGATTGATCGATGATGAAGCCACCTTCGCTTTACCAAGGATGTGATTTAATTTATGTTAAATCTAAATCTAACTACTGCTAAGTCACATAGTAAAGTGGGTGTTTTGAGTTCGATTTAGGAGGAAATAACGGTTTTATTTAGCACGGAAAGCTTATTCGGTAGTTACTTAATTTGAAAAAGATAGCAAAGAAATTGACGTAGAATTGTATCTGACCTTTGTTTCATTTAGCAGTATAGTTAATAATATAAGATTTACAGACGTTCATTATATTGTTCGGAAGTTTACGAGACATAAAAATAAACAAATCTATCTTATAAGAAAGCTTTATCACAGGAATTTTATATAAATGTTGATATGTTTATAATTTCATATTTAGTAGTAAAATTTATATACATATATTGTTTACCGTAACAAGTTAAACAAAACATGGTTTTCTTTCTCTTCTAATCTATTATTATTTTAACTATTAAGATCACAGAGAGCAACTTTATAAAATAACAATCTAGTATATATAATAATTATGGCTAATAAGTAATATTAAATTCAATTAATTTTCGACAATACTAGAAAACACCTTAAACTAAGACGTTCATTAACAGTCTTAGTGTTCTATGTTTGGCACTATGATCATGCGTCCGAGATACCGCACTTATATTTACTACACTACACTAGTTTTACTAACTCAAAGGTTTAGTTCACTTAAAGAGTCTTATTCCTGTTGTTCCTGGAGTTTTACTGTTTAAAATTGGAATAACGGCTTGTTTGCATATATATTACGACAGAAAAAAGTGCATATAATCTTGAAATACATAAGTCGCGTCGTGTTTAGAACGCTTCAATCGCGCGATCTGCTGACTCATGCGACCCAAGACACTTTATTTACATTTACATACACAGTTTTGACAAAGGAATATCAAAAGAAATAGAATGGTGAAGACTTGCCATATATATAGACCACAAGCCCATGAACAAAAAATACCTGTGAAATGACCCAACGTGAATTACGCTTAGAAGGCTGTTACTATATCTGAAAATAGCTCTGAGCACTATGCCGTCATTTCTCAGCGGTACATGTGAGTACGTGAGTGAATGGACTTTCTCAGGTACAATTGGGGAATTTCGACTAATTATTAATGTACGGCTTTGTTATAAGTGTATAGATGATTAAAAATAAATGTAGAAAAACCTAGTGCCGTACTAAAGTGATGGTGCCGGAAGTCGGTGCAAATTTTTAATTCGACGACAGTTGCAGAAGCAATATAGGTCATTTATTACTGTACGGCATTTGTGTGATTCCTTTTGGACACATATACAGATACTTTACCCGTAAACGCCGTACATATTTCCAGCGGAGCGGTCGAAAGCCAAGGATCGGAACCCTACCCCTACACCCATATACCCTAAGGTCATTGTAAAATGTACGGCAACATGTTCAAAATATTATTTAACACGGACAATAATGTTTTATAATTATGCCGCCCAAAACTTATAGTTAATATTTGTGTAAATAAATATTTATCGAAATTTCAGGATTTACCAAGTTCTTACTGCTGTAAGATCAGAGAATAATGTACGGCAACTTGTTTTTTTACATAATGTTACTAAATATTACCGTTGTACCTTATAGCCGTTCATTATAAATGGTAACAAATAAAAATATTATGATAAAAAATATATGAAATTTCCGAAATTTAGATGACTTTTCAAATGCTCCTAGAGTAATATGGGGAGTAATATTTTCAAAGATTATTGTTATTTTATATGTAACAAATATAAATAAACAAAAAAAACCAGATGCCGTACTTTTTACTTCAGATTATTCTTTACAGCTGATAAAAACTTCGACGACGTTTGAGGTGTCCCTTAAGGTCATTAATAACTGTACGTATCTGAGTATACTACCATAAGGCTGTAAAGTATATTTACAGCCTTATCATACCAGCAGAGAGAGGTAAAGGAAAAATATTTTTAACATAAATAAAAATATAATACAGGGCGTCCCAAAGTTATGGGACATGAAGGGAAAGTACCTTAAATATCGTAGATAGGGCAATTTACTAAAAGAAGACTTTATGTTATTTTTAAAAGTTAGTAATTCTGCATTCAAAGATTTTTTTAAAATTACTTGCCTCGTCTGGAAATCGAACCGGCTTAAATTAAAAAAAAAACAACCCTACTTTTATGATGCCAATCGAAAGAATGGCTAAAACCTAATAACTTTTCTAAAGTAACAGACTCGTAGGGGATTTTTTAGGCCAAATACGATAGATAATGTTTTTAATTTGATTAAAAAGATATATTCACGCTGTTCCTTTCTTTTAAAATACTATGTTACTTAAGAAGAGTTGTTAGTTTTCGGTCATTCTTTCGATTGGCATCATAAAAGTAGGGGTGTGTTTTTTTACATTTAAGTCGGTTCGATTTCCAGACGAGGCAAGTAATTTTTTTAAAATCTTTGGATGCAGAATTACTAACTTTTAAAAATAACATAAAGTCTTCTTTTAGTAAAATACCCTATCTACGATATTTAAGGTACTTTCCCTTCATTTCCCATAACTTTGGGACGCCCAGTATTGGTAGGCGGTGGTATAATCTGCCATTTCACAGACTAGCGGACTATCGAAAGTGTACGGCATTTATCTTTTATTAAAGATTGTCTAAAGTATTAATAACCTGTGTTATTGCCGTACAGATAAAAGTCACCGGAAAATGACTCTTTTCTGAGGAAAGTAATTTACTTCATACACCTATGTGTTCCACAAAAAATGTACGGCATGCTGGAAAATGTTACCTATTTGTGAAGTACTCTCAAGATCATTTAATTTTATGTTGTTCTATATCATCATCACCTATATGCTAATCAGACATATGTTGTGACCCTTGGCTTTCGACCGCTCCGCTGGAAATATGTACGGCGTTTACGGGTAAAGTATCTGTATATGTGTCCAAAAGGAATCACACAAATGCCGTACAGTAATAAATGACCTATATTGCTTCTGCAACTGTCGTCGAATTAAAAATTTGCACCGACTTCCGGCACCATCACTTTAGTACGGCACTAGGTTTTTCGACATTTATTTTTAATCATCTATACATTTATAACAAAGCCGTACATTAATAGTTAGTCGAAATTCCCCAATTGTACCTGAGAAAGTCCATTCACTCACGTACTCACATGTACCGCTCAGAAATGACGGCATAGTGCTCAGAGCTATTTTCAGATATAGTAACAGCCTTCTAAGCGTAATTCACGTTGGGTCATTTCACAGGTATTTTTTGTTCATGGGCTTGTGGTCTAATAATCTTATTACTATGTAAAATTTGTATTTGTATTTGTGTGTGTTCGAATTTAGAAATTTAAAAGACATTGTCACGAACTTTACAGCAAGATTTTGATTGATGGAAAAAAGTTCGCGGATATAGTTTTAGCGGAATTCCATTTACTTTAACGCAACTTGAGGTAACTTTGACACGGACACATTACTAGCGAGATTATTATTTATTCTCAATGGTGATATCTTAAGTGCATTTTATTAACGGGCAATAACAAGTTACATTTAAAGTAATATTTTATCAGTATGGCTTCGACTGTCATGGTAATCGGAAAAATGTCAAAAAACCACTTACCGTTAATATTTTTAACGCGATTTAATCATATTTATTAATGGTACATAACATTACAAGATATTGACGTGGAGGAGATAACTTTATTTACTTTTGAAATACCTAAAAAATTGCGTATCTATCGACTCAACCAGGACCACTATACTCGAACTCAAACTCAAACTTAAAATGTCTTTATTCATGTAGGTAAACAATTACAGTTATGAATTGTCAAGTTAAATTAATTGTAAATTTACATTTACTACCAGTTCGCAAATCAAGGGCGTAGAGCGGGTAAGAAGAACTGGCAAGAAACTTTCCGCCACTCTTTTAATCACCAAGTATTGTCATACAAATTGTTTGAACTGGAGCAAATCAATCCCATATCCCATATAACTGGTAAATAGTTAATATATTATTATCTGAATCACCAACGTGACTAAGAAATCTCAGTAATGACAAGACTGTTAATGATTTATGCATTAAACTGCTATCGTACAATCAACATCTATTATATCAATTACTCAGTATAATAACAAACAATTTCTGTCATAATTATTGAGATGCTATGCGCTAATGAATACGGAATTTGAATTACGATTTAATTAATACTATGTATGCGTACGTCGCGTCTCACCCCCGCCTACGCAATCGAGCTAATGAGAACATGTAAAATTATTCTTCCCATTACTTTTAATTATTTTAACGCCAATTATTTAACTAAAAATTGTCTTTTCATAGACTGTCACTATAAAGTTTTTGAAATATTGTATTAATAATGAAATCAATAGAAAAAAAACCGTTAAAGATTTTTATTGTATAGAATGTAATAAATTTTATGAATAAAGAGTTTTCAAACTCATAACACATCGAAACTTAAAAAAAAATAATACTAAATTGCATGTCGCTAGCATTTAAATAATAATTATAACATGATCAAATATTACGAAGTTTATAAACAATAGAAAATCAATATTAACGAAAACGAAACACTAATGTTAGCGGCGTATGCACGATTAGGATAACATTTTAATATCTAAACAGCCTAAGCATAACAAAGTTAATATAATGCCTGCTATTAAGTCTGGTATCTTAAATATCTTAATTAAAAAAAAGACAAAGTAAGGAGAAGCAACATCAGAAGAAAGACTAAGGTACAGGGTATAACTTTGAAAATAAGAAGACAAAAGTGGAAATGGGCAGGCCACACGATCAGGGGAAAGGACAAATGGAGTAAAATAATCAGCCTGGAAGAGATCGCTTATTAGCGATAAGGCCGCCCGTTGCATCCCTTATAATTTTTTTTTGTATTGTGTTTGATTTAATGTTTTTTGCAACGAAGTGTTAATAAATAAATAAATAAAATAATCACACAATGACACCCAAGAGATGGAAAGAGAAAAAGAGGTAGACCACAAAAAAGGTGGGACGACGACATTACACAAGTCGCGGGAACAACATGGGATAGAGTGGCCATAGAAAGGCCAGAATGGAGAAGATTGGAGGAGACCTTTGCCATCTGGCAAAAGGACACGCAAAAGTGGAACAAAAGAACAATCTACGAAAAATAAAGAAAAAATACTGTCATGTCCGAAAAGAGGCTATAATATAATAATATATCTTAATTCCAATAATGCTTGTATCGATCCTCCTTGAGGTCGTGTAATCAAACCTTGGCTGAGTACCAATGGATTTCATTCTAGCGAAAAAAAACGCCGTGAGGAAACTGGTATGTGTTTCACAAATAGACATGCAATGCCTGACATAAGGACAGAAAGCTAATAACCTACTTGCCTAAAAATAATCAATGAAACAGACGCAGAAGACGTCTGAGGCCAAGCGCTGCTATATTTTTTATCATTAGGGACATTCTATACGCTTCAGATAGTTGATTATCCCTAGCGTAAAAAAACTAATTTTACCAGCTATTTTCTCTGAACGGGTAAGTAATAATGTCATGATATATATTCTACGAGCCCGTTATTCGGGACCCTAGTTTAAGAATGATTTATCGCAGCACGGGCTGAGCTGAACGCCAATTTATCCGAAAAACAATAATTCTCACCCTTTTTATCTTAAGCTGTATATTGAAATACATAAGCTACCCAATAACTTATTATCTATATAGTATTTTGATGGGGTTTATATCTTTCTAACAAGTATGCCACTAGCTTTCGATTATATGTACAGCATTTTATTATCAAGTTTGTTATACATGTTTTTTCGTAACTTACATCATAATCCTAGTTTGTGAATTAAATCTTATCATGGTTAGGTATGGATCACACCTATAAACTAACCTCTGAGCCATGTGCTTTAAACCTTAGGCCAAAGAGGCTGTTTAAGAATAAAACGGGATTACGTCCCGTTTTTATTTTTAAACAGCTATTGATATTATATTAAAACACATTATGTTATAGCGAAGACGTATTCATAAAACTTGAACTTTAACGTACACAAATATCTCTTGAGACCCTTAACAGAACGTAAGTTGTCTATAAAAGAATTTTATTGTACAAGAAAAATGTCAAGAAAGAACGCCTTTTCATGACCTTTTACCGTTTTCCGGAATGATTTCCAAACAAATAAAGCTTTATTTATAAAAATTTCTCAAAGATAAAAAATAAAAAGTATAAATATGATTTAAAACCTACTGATTATTATTAATTCTCATTTTACTTCAAAAACCCTCTATCAAGCCTCAAATTATTATTTGGATTATTTCGATTCGATAGTATTTGTTTGATTTGTCATTCCACCTTACATATTATAACAATACATAACAGCTATCTAGATAAGAACGTCATAGGATAAGTTGGTTATCTTATATTACCTTAGCAACAAATTTTATTCTAATGCTTACTAAAAAATTTAGTCGAAGGTCATTGCCATATAAGTCTTTCGAACCAAATAATAAGAAATGAGCTGTCAATCATTCAAATCTCCGATGACAGACACAGGTGTGCGTCTCACATAGCTTCGTAACGAGGAAACTGTATTTCCATATCAAAAGAATCCTTGGATCACTTTTTCATTTATTATATATGGATTCCAATAAACCTATATATTGAGGTTAACGTGGGTAATTCTGTTCGAAATAAAAACCTAATGTGTTTGACGTGAACTTCAGACTGTGAAATCAGTGAATATAAAAGATATTTGTTTGATTAGTTAGTTATAGAGATATCTTTTGGCTATTGGCCGCTATTATATCAGCAAATGCAAATCATATTTCATGTGTAATATTTAGCTTCAAATATTCAAATAGCTATTTATAAAACAAAAGAAACGTTATCAGTTCTTAATCCAACTAGTATAATTGAACTGACAAAATGATTGTCCTCCAGCCACTTAGTCTTGCCTGGCATCTTTATCGAGAAATGTACGAAATAGCAACACACAAATATATCAAGTAGTTCGTCACATTCAAATATCTAAATTTTATTTACATTAGCCAATGTCCAGTTAGTGTGGTGAGATAGAGATAGACAAACTTATTTCTAGTGAGTAATTCAATTAATTATTAATTCAACGTATTACTAATAATTTATGAATTATTATACTATAATATTTCCAGGAAGATGTTACAGATTGTACAAGTTACAACCAATATGCAAGATGTCATATTAACCATTAATTCTACAATTTGTATTTATCTATGCATAATTAATAATACACAGCTGATGTAAACTTACCTATAAATAAATACAGATAGAATTGCCAAGATGACTACTACGGAACTCAGAACTATACTGAGGATTGCGTAGACTGGTAACGCTGTAACAAAAGTATTTAATGATTCGATGATAGACTGATTGATATGATTTGGTCGTAGTCTGGTGTCATTTCCATATCCTTAATGGACCACTCAACACAAAAATATGTTTTCAATTAGACCCACGAGTTTCTGGAGCTCACCAAGAGTTAGTGCCTTATTAATTATATTTTGTATGTATGTTCAAGCTTAAGCTTGATGCCTTATGGCCCTTTGTCCAAAGATCATTTGGAGCCGCAACACTTCACAACCCTCAACAAACACTTAACTCTCAGTAATACAAGGCTAAACAATAGAAAAAGGAATAATTAGCATACTACTTTTTCTTGCATTTTAGAATCAATTGTATCTTTGAAACATCCTTTTAAAAATAATCTAAGTTAAAAAAATGTTAAATGTCAGTAATCTCGTCCATAGGAGATGAAGCACGTTTTTCATTTAATGAAATGGGCCTTTGAGAGATTTTTAATTGTTTCTTGTAAATGCTGAATAAAATTTCTCTGTATATAATACAACATTGTTTTTATTTATACACAACCGTACTTTATAGCCTTGAGTAACAAGTTGTTTTCCAGACATGCAAATTTTTATTAAAATTCAATTCCTTAAAAATAAATCAGACGTTATTGTAATTTGACTGCAATACTTCAAATATAAAATGTTTTCTGTAAGGCAGTATCCCTTCATTATTAAATAAATAAACCTCTTCTTAACTAAATAAATTTAATTATACTGTGATAAAAAGAGAAAAACTATGTAGCAGTGAAGTTTTGTATTAAAATTTCTTATAAAATCTCAATACGAATACCTACTTCAAGTTCGAACGAATCTTAAGATGTAAGAGAATAAATGTTAAATTATCGAATAAATAAATTAAATAATTCTAATTAACATATCGCAAATAATTTTAGTCTAAATAAAACATGATAACTTACAAGTGTCAGGACATAGAGATCCATCGAAACCACATATCGGTGTATCAGGTGGTGGCGTATTCCGGCCGCCCGCCCAATGGATTGGGCGGTTTTCCACAAACCTTAGTGATGCGTTTGCTGCTATGTATGTTGCTACGACCTGAAAATTTCAATGGCATTATGCATATAAATTGATATAATCCGATTGAAACAGGATAATTTTGACGTACTAATATAATATTTGCTTTAAGTATATGTTCACTGAGCATTTTTGTTATTTACACAACAAAATAGACATTTTGTATAAAATTCTTTATAGAATAATCAATCAATTAAAGTATAACATGATATTGATGGTGTGATGACTGGATATTACAGTATTAAATCAGAAATCCCTTTTTAGTCATATTAAGGGATTAGAGAAACTTTCTTGTATAGTAAAAATGTTAATGATATATTTTAAAAGTTATACAGTAACAAAAAATGTTTGAAGGAACAGGTAGCCAATCAGAACTTAGAAATAAGTTGTCACTGCTACCAATGGTCAGGGGGCTCACAATACGTCGCATACAAACAATAAAACTAATAAATATTAGTCCATTCGCTTCACAAAAAAAAATCTTGATTTGAGTAATATTCCTATAAATTTATCGAGCTAGTCCTAAATGTATATTACTGCCTGAACGAGAGGAAATTGAGACCTCGTTATTTCTTGATCAATTCCAGCGCTAATGGTCTTTTCCTAGTTCTGATTTATACAGCATAATAGGATTTATTAAGTAATAAGGGATGCTACTTATTGTGGTGGCCTATCCCAAAAGTAATCGATTATTAATAAATGTAATAAATAGTTTTCTGCGAGAGTAGCACAATATTGTCAATGTAAATAAGATTCAGAATATCTTAATCGCGGTAAGAAAAATGGATTTATTTTCTCTCAATTTTTTTAACCTTCTTTCTTGTTTCAAGTGTCTTTGACTATAATATATAAATAATACGTATATTGAACATTGTACGTATATATATACATGATTTGAAATCTTGTCCTGACAGATTCCTGAAACGAATTTAACTATGATATTTATGAAAAATAAGGAAACTATATATAATATTAAAAAGATCTAAACAATATGACAAACTAAAAAACAATACAAATATAGATGCCAGTTGTCTTTCCATAGTCGTCTCATTTCCGGTACAAGTATATCTGCTGTACGTGTGTAGAATGTGCGCATAACCGCGCCACCTCAAAGACGTGCCGTGAGTGACATTATAGATATGCACTTAGCAGGATATGCAGGGGAGCAAATTAATAACATTAATGCCATCAAAAACATAACTGGTAAATAAAAAAGTCTAACAACTCAGTTCTTCTACCGTAAAACTTGTGAGATCCATGTAATACCAAGTCGGTTCATTTATTCAGTTCCTACTTAAGCGACCGAATCAATAGACCAGTTCTAGCTTTATCTACAATAAATCGAAAATGTCCTGAACTGTTTCGAGAAAAGGATGATACATGCCGAGCCGCTTTTTTGCTCGACTTTGCGGGGGCACTGACGTGCTCTCATATTTACAGGAAACACCTTAATAGAACCAGTTGTAATAAGTCTGTGCCTGCTACTGTGCATAGTGGTCATAGATTTGTAATTTATTTTAAACGATGTTGACTTTGTCATTGTCCTCTCCATTCAAAATATAATAGTAGACACATCTATACGAGATGTTCTCTATTTGAATTATGAAATCCGTATGGTTATAAAAGATATCGTAGATGCTGGATATAAAAGATAGTGACATAGTAAAAATCCGCACATGAACATTTTAATATCAGGAAATGGTATTGCATAGTGATATCGTTCCATGAATATATAATACATTCACTATCACATTTTATTTCAACCCAGGTGTTTTACTGAAGTATATTACTAATGACTCAATTAGAATTACACATACAAAATATAATTATAATGAAGCTGTAATACGAGTACACTATACTGATTAGATGTCGCTGTTTAGGCAAACATTCATGTTACATGGAATAGATCGCGAAAGGGCCAACCCTTTGTACTTTATATATATTCTATGTTTTCTTCCTATATTATTTGATTTATACAATATGAGCAGTGTTGGGCGTTGGCCTAGCGGCTTCAGCGTGCGACTGTCATCCCTGAGGTCGTAGGTTCGATCCCCGGCTGTGCACCAATAGACTTTCTTTATATGTGTTTAACATTCGCTCAAACGGTGAAGGAAAACATCGTGAGGAAACCGATATCTTAGACCCAAAAAGTCGAAGGCGTGTGTCAGGCACTAGAGGCTGATCACCTACTTGCCTATTGGATTGAAAAATGATCATGAATCAGATTCAGAAATCTGAGGCCCAGATCTAAAGATGTTGTAGCGACACTGATTTCATATGTTATGTACCTATTAATTTTCATTGACTCCCAGCATTTGAAATTTTATTTATTGATTAAAATATCCGAAAGTTTACTATTAATCAACATGTGGTTACCATGTCATGTTAACGCTAAAGGTTGATATTATTTCAAAATATAAGTAGGATAAATTAAAGAAAATTCAATTCAATGATTACTCACAAGCCCGGTACTTTGAGAAACTTAAAAACAATATCTGCTCCACAGGGCCTTACTTGTTTATAAATGTTGTTTATTTGAGTAGAATCTAGTCAAGTAAACACAATTTGTTATTTAAGGGCGAGCCTAGTTAAATTTCGATATAATAACAGACTTGAATGATTCACATTACAAATAGACGATTCCTGCCATATGTACGCTTAAATATTTTAAGCTAGGTAACGGACTTTAATGACGTTAAATAAAAAAATAAATCAGTGGCGCTACAACCTCTTTAGGTCTTGGCCTCAGATTTCTGAATATTTTTCATGATCATTTTTAAATCTAATAGGCAAGTAGGTGACCAGCCTCCAGTGCCTGACGGCTAACACACGCCGTCGACTTTTTGGGTCTAAGACATGTCGGTTTCCTCACGATGTTTTCCTTCATCGTTCGAGCAAATATTAAATGCGCACATAGAAAGAAAGTCCATTGGTCAGCTGGGTATCGAACCTACGACCTCAGGTATGAGAGTCGCACGCTGAAGCCACTAGGTCAACACAGCAATGACGTTATTTACAATAGACAATAACTGACTAGAAAGGTTTGTTTGTATAAAAATCTAGGTATGATATAAAAAAAACTCTTCTTGTTTCCTGAATGCATCATGAAAACTACGCAGATCTGAATTTTCATATTCGTATTAGATTTTTTTTAATATAGATTATATTACATAACTTACTTATCTTGAGTTACACTACTGTGCAAACAAAATCACGCGAGGGTAAGTATGGAAATGGACACATTTGACTGAAAGGCACAAAAGTTGAGGAACAAGTATAGAATAAATATGAGGGTAAAGGTTAAACGTCCACTCATATTATAATATTTATTTAATGAAACTGCTTTCTAATAGTACGGTGAAAAAGATTCTGTGGTGGGTAATATATAATAACCTTGCTTTGCTTTGTGTTGTACATAAAATGGTCGGCAGTGACGAGGTATGGAATGCAGTGGTAACCTTCTGTGAGCATATTGTGCTACAGAAGGAGACAGCAGAACGAGAGAGGGAGCGCTTTAGGACGAATCCTAGGGGTAGAAGACGGGGAGTAAATAGGAGAAGATATGCCCATCTCCTACACCTCCTATGTAGTGTATACTCCACCGGAGGTTTTTGAGTGTAACAGGCCGTTGAGGTCCCGGTAGAATGCGACAGCGACCCCGGAGCCTCTGTAACGCGGCTTTGTTCCTACTACTCGACGTGGTTTTAGTGGGTATTGCTCACCCAGTCTCTGAATAGCAGAGATTTTGGCTTGGGTCGAGTCCCACAAACCCCTGCATTTTCTGAGGGTCAGGGGATGCGCAAATGTATTTCCTCGGATATCAAAAAAAAATGGTGAAATAGATAATAATAAGTTGTTTATTTAGTAATTCAAAATAGATTTTGATAGAACTACAATTGAATACAGCACATAAACAAGATAAACTTTATTTATGGAACGTAAAATAAAAAGTTTACAAAAGAATTTGTAAGCTTTAATGTAATTTTAAGCACTTTGCGCGAAATTTTGTTTGAGATGTGGAGGCTACATTCTACTTAGATAGGGTATGCAAAACCATGCCCCAATTTTGTTTGTTTTCCCTTACAAAGTTTAAAAAGGTTTTCATTGTTTTGTTTGTAATACTAACTGGTTCCTGCGACATAACTTATAAAAGTAAAATATAAAAATAAAGTAAATATAAAAAGGGCCCAAATACAATTATATTTAGTCGTTATGTCAGGCTAATAGTTCTTTTATGGGACAAGAGCATACAAGGAGACGGGCCACTTAAAATTAAGTGCCAACCACCCTGCTTCGCCAGAAGCCTCGCAAATGTGTTCCCGTCCTTTAACAGTATGGTACGCTCTATTAGATTAGAGAATGCACGCGGCTATGAGTACGTATTAGAAAATGAATTCTTTGTTATTTCTTTATATAGCACTTAAAATGTTCTCTAGCTAGCTAAAATATTGTGTGAACTTATTTGATTATATATTATAACTTACCTCGAATTTACTAGTATTGGGGTTCATATCCAGCAAAGAATATGACGCCACGCGATCTCCGTTCTCGTTTATTATCACCTCGCCTGTGATGCCTTGAAACAAAAAATACAAAATATAAAAAACATCAATTGATTCAATAGATAGTCTAGTATTCGTGCTCTATATTTCTATATGTTGTGGATTTTTCTATTACAATTCTATTTGTATGTTACATAAAACTATAATAAAAAAATGATCACTATCGCCCTATACAGCATCAAAAATGATCTTAGATAAATTACGGTGAAGCTATTTTTATAGGAAACTACACTTTAAAGTAAGAGAGGAACGAAAAAATCGAAAAATAAGGCTTTAAATTTGATTTAAACTTTGATATATAATACCAATAATTTTACCAAAAAAACTAAATGAATGTATACGAATTTACATCTAATATATAAAATTCTCGTGTCACAGTTTTCGTTGCCATACTCCTCCGAAACGGCTTGACTGATTCTCATGAAATTTTGTGTGCTTATTGTGTATGTCTGAGAATCGGATAACATCTTTTTTTCATCCCCTAAATATTTTTTTTTTATTTTTAGATATTTTTTTCTGTTTTTATTTTTTTATGATACAGCATTAAAAAATACATACAAACCCCTAATTTTCACCCCTCTACGATCAACCCCTATTTTTTTATTATAAATGATATATATGGCAAAACGACGTTTGCCCGGTCAGCTAGTTTAATATCAACACGAACGAAATCAATAACATGAACGAAATCACGAATAGTCTTATAATTTATTTACAACCCACTTAATAAGTGATAATTACGTAAGTTGCAGTGAATGAAAAATTATTGGAAATTGCACAACTCACAATCCAATTTCATTTAACTAAAACGTACGAAAGATATATTGTAGTAATTAAAAGATAATTGGAGAATAATGTATAATTTTGAATCAATAAACATAAATTATCTTCATTAAAAGCGACAGTTTCCTGATTTTTGGGACCTTTTATGACCTTAATTACTTTAAAACCATTTTATTGTTAATCATTCATTCCTGTCAATCAATAATTACAAAATGGATACATAATTGTTATTTAATTATTTACCTAATTAGTATATTTAAAAGTAGCAACTCTAGATTTTATTACTTAACTACAAATACAGAGATAAAAGTCTTTCTACAGGAAAGCACTAAACCAAACGTCTCGCCGAGAATAGATAATAAACTACAGACCTTGAAAAGTTCTATTCCACATGTTCCTAATAACAGCAGCGCCGTCCAATTGCCCTCTGGGGTCATTAGCTTGTCGCAGCGTGTCGTTTAACGCCAACGCGTAGAGGAGTACAGCATCGTAGAAAGCTGCTACGAACGTAGACACAATCTCTTCTTTGCCAAACGTATAATTATATTTCGTAGCAGCAAGGTCTTTGACCTGAAATATTCTTGGTTGAGCACGCAATAATTCGAATTATTAAATAAATCACTATTATCTGTATGAAATCTCTTTATATAATTTTGGACAGTTAAATAAACTACGCGAGTATAATTATTATATATAATACATTATTATATTAATCGTGATTTTCCTTTTGCTAAATTATTAAATGATTTATGAATGACCACATTTTAATTTTAAGGTTTATTACTCTACAATACATATGTGATATTCCTCTTTTCTATATACAAAAGTTAATTATGGTATTCGTAAAGATTACAAAACCATTTCAGAGTAATGCCTATAGAATCTATACAAATTGTTATTTTTAAAGATTCTATAGCCATTCTGTTGTCTGTAATGTAAATGTCTTAACCATAAATCTAAAAGATTAATATAAAATACCCATATATGATATTTCGATCAAAACTAGTATCCTACTCAGAGGCAGTATTTGGATAATAATGTGACGTGATTGACCTATAAAAATCAATATTTTTAAGGGTTCTTTTGATATATTAAAGTTTTATACAGATTACTCTCAATAATACTATTTTTTTCATGCTGTCAAATATTCTATTGAATACATAAACTAATTATTTTTGTGCTATCTTTTAATAAATTTTTAGTTGTATTGTATGTAATAAAAAAAAGTATATGGCTTTTAATTTTGGTGCTTAACTACTCTGTCTTAATTGTCTGAAGTTAAGCGTTTAGCTCCAGACAATCCCAGTTATTTTCAGAAAAATTGCAGCGGTGGTACACCGAGTTGAGTCGGTACTAATAATAACTAAGCAAGCCTCACCTTATCAGAGAATTCCAGGTATTCCTTCTTTTCAGGCACTGGACTGGTGACAGTAAGAACAGCACTATAGGCCCGTCGGGCTCTTTCATTTCTTTCGTCAGTATCACCTTCAACCTTCCACGGCTCTTTTGACGAGGCCGAGGCTAAGCTAAAATATTATAGCCGTTATTAAGTATACATTTTTCACATATTTTTATAGGCAAGTAAGATCAGCCTTCAGTTCTTCAGTGAGTAATATTTGCAGTCGATATTTTTTTATTCACTGCTTGGGGAGAATCAAAATGAGTGGCGTAGAGTTTCTTGCCAGTTCTTCTCATCCGTTCCATATGTTTGCTTTGAGAACTGGCAGTAAATGTAAAGTAAGAGACGAATAGTGTGACATATCTTTTAACAGTAATTAATCACAAACATTTTTCACTAAACTGTAGTATAAAATGTACATTTCCAACTCACTTTGAAAATAATTCTATATTGAAAAAAACGTATTCTCCTGAAGACACCATATTGAGGTCATCTGCAGCAAGCATTATTTCACGTACAGTACTGGGATTTGCACAGACCACAACAACTGTAACAAAAAATAAGCATTACATAATGTTATATTTTTATACCAAATCTATTCATAAAAGACGTCAGAGCTTTTTTGATAAATAAAAAACGGAACAGACGTGGTTATTGCTGAGAGCAGGTAACAATGTTGTATGAATATTAAACCTTTAGCAAAAACTGAAACTATTTATGTTCAAGTACATAATGATCACCTAATTTTGAATAAAAATAATAACCAATGACAATATTTGCGTGTGAAGATAGAAAAAACTTACATTTGTTCCACTTTAAATTATTAATAATATTGAAAAATAAACATATTTTGTGCGAAAAAGCGTTGCACAAGGCTTAGGTGCACAAAATCCAAAAACGTAAATCCTCACATCTGCATAAAAAAAAGTCGGGATAGATATCTATAGCTCGAGCAAGTTTGGACTTCTTATGATTACAAATCAAGGCTCATTCAATGACATAAACAAATTTCGGGTCACGTTGTTTTGACACTTGTTCAAATCAGCTTGACTAATTATTATTAAACTGTACATTGTATGTACATGTACATTTGATCGGTATGAGAATAGGTCTAATGTACGCACTAAGTGAAATTTGCGCGCATTATAACTTGGAAAGCAGATAGAAGTATTAATGATTATATATATTTTATGTCAGGAAACAGGACGATCAACGAGGACTTTGGGTCGCTGCACTGGCGGAGTAAATCTGATAAAAAATTTGACTTGATTTGACTTCCAACTTCGTCGTTATAACACTTTTTTCATTAAACTTACATTTTTTCAATAAAATTAAGCCAACCGTTTGCCTGCAAATTACGCCTGTCGAATAAATTTCCGTTGACCTTTTTTTTAGAGATCGTCGTGTCAAATAACTCGTAGGGATGATTTCCATTTCATAACGATGCGAATAAAATATATTTTTTTGTAAAAATAAAGTCGTTTTTAGGCCACTTTTCAATTGTTTAAATTAAGAACATTTCATCGTTTATCGATAAAAAGTATTTTAATCATCAATCACAAATTTAATGTTGGTTTAAGTCTATTGTAATGGATTCAAGTTTCCCTAATGGAAATTATGCAATAAAGAACATACGCTACACTTAAAATAAATGATGATAGTAAAAAATAATGTATACGCATGACAATTTTTTTTTCCTACATGTTGAATCTATTGGGGAACAAAATTGCATACTTAATTTAACTATGCATATAAAATCATTTTCTATGACTCAACAATAAAAACGTTTGCGTTGCAAACTACAAACATCAAATATTTGTCAATAGTTTTTCCTATCGTTTGACGTAAATAAAACCGCACGTGCCGGTTGTCTCCTGGTATTAACTTTGGCTTTCATAACAAAAACTTCAGCTCCTACCCAAGAGATGTCACGTACAAGTGTCGGATATAGACCGACTGACCCAAGATAACATTTACTCAGCTTTGAGCTATTTCGTGAAACCTGTATTCTTTTGGAACAATGGTTTCATGTATTAAGAAATTAAATGTTACGTAACTGGTTATGTACCACAACGAAAGTTTCGGTGGCCGTATACACAATTTTATACTAAAATAATATGTCCTGAGTACAAACATCGTCTCAATATATCCTTAAGAAGAAGAAAGGCACACAATTATCAGTGGTGAGAATATGGAGAAATTATATTAGTTTGGGAACAATAAGAGAGGTTAGACTACCTAGGTTAGGTACCTACTGATATATAATATATAAATTTATTATGAGAGTCGCGTAAGCGGCATTCGCTGGACGGGGCGCGGTGAAAAGGCCTAGCTGTTACCCGCCCTCGTCCCATAGCGAACAGTGGGCCCTGGTGGGTTTAATGGGTATGGGGTCATCGCTTTACGACCTTGACCCCCACACTCCCCGCGCCATTTAACAATTTGCCCCGGCGCGGGCGCCCGTAGTCGGGTTTCCCCAGGTTAAAAAAAAACCTACTGATACCTTCCCTTACAATATCGGGCGAGTTAAAATATTTAAGATCAAAATTTATGAAACTAACATTATTTATTTCGAACAGGTTATATATACACTTTATATACGTATAATTAGTTTAAAATATTGGTTAAGTTTTCACAATTCTTTGATGATGCGACTATTTATCCATTCACAGGGTTTTAACTTAACTACCCTCTAACTACTATCTCTTTTTACCACAGTGTAAACACAAGTTGACAGAAAGAGATAGAAGTGTAAAAGTAAATGAAGAGTTAAACGAGTACAATTAGGCTTATTGAGATTTTATTAATAAACAACTAAACACATAAAATTAAACCTACAACCTGAAAAATCACTGAATTTCATTTGCGTAACTGGATAGTTCAAATACAAGCGTAACTTATACAATTGTAATAATTTAATTTTCATGAATAAAGAAGCTGGTCTGGAAGAAATAAAGCTGTCGTAAGTTTAAGGGTAGAAAGTAAAAAAAATATTCTTCAATCGCGATACAAACGTTATTTCTAAAAGTTTCTGGTGTTTCTGGATCTATTTACAAAGCTATCGTTTGGAGTCTCATTGATACTCGTATTCAAACACTGAATAAACTTCTATTTGATTTGTGTATTTTGCTAGAGAATTGGGACGGAAATCTCGGATTTTTTTGACAATGAATACTGTTTATTTTTAGATGATACTGTCTCAATAATGCCATCTATTTGCCCCCAAACCAGAATACGCGAGAATATATTATAGAAACACATCTTATTGCAATTTAGACAGTTAAATATACTTTCAAAGAATCGCACATAACTTTGTAAGATTTTGAACGGCTGGGTAAAGTTTGTGCATATACCGTAAACTATAAATAATCAGAAGCTTTTCATTTATCAAAATAGTGATCTAGGTCATTTAACAATCGGATAATTCAGATATAATTGCCTTGAGACCATGTTCAACATCAAGTTACTAGTCAACGTTAATATCATAAAAAAACTATGAAAATATCGTATTATAACAAAAATCGTATTACGTAAAACAGCAAAGGCATAGAACTTCTCAGTAGTTACCACATACAAAGCAGATAATAAGACACGTGTTGATGACTGTGTTACATAGATCAGATGTGTTAACATATTAAAAAAACTATCGGGAATTTTATAATATTACTAGCTGATCCGGCAAACGTCATTTTGCCATGTATATCATTTATAATAAAAAATAGGGGTTGATCTTAGAGGGGTGAAAGTTAGGGGTTGTATGTATTTTTTTATGCTGTATCATAAAAAAATAAAAAATAAGTAATTTATCTAAAAATTAAAAAAAAATAATTTAGGGGTACCTACCCCTTTATTATACCCTTAACATTTAGGGGGATGAAAAATAGATGTTGTCCGATTCTCAGACATACACAATAAGCACACAAAATTTCATGAGAATCGGTCAAGCCGTTTCGGAGGAGTATGGCAACGAAAACTGTGACACGAGAATTTTATATATTAGATATCTTACACCGCACGATTTGGATCATCTTATAGAGAAAGCGACATTGTCGAACTCCAAGAGGTATGGAGTACCTGCCATATATAGTTGCGTATTCTACAATGGTCCATTTCACCATAACGTCACCTCGTTATACAACGCCATATTCTTAAAAAAATCTGGAAAACATTACGTAAAACAACTGAAAGGAACGAATAAATCTCCGTTATATTACTCGTTGAAAAGGTCAAAGGATCGCAAGCGTCAAATGCAGCGAAATTAAATCTATTCGAAGTGGAATGGGTTGGGTTAACGGCGACTTCAACGAATATAGACTAATATAGACAGGTTAAGAGCTAATTTCTGAAGTTTACCCGACTTACTTAAGGTATTTTTATATAGCGCTCGCCCATGCTATGGAAACTCATTTTAATAAGAAATCTATAGGTAGATAATACGAATTATTTAATATTACACATTATTTTAGATGAACAATTGTAAACTTGTATGTGTACTTTGATTAAACGGTAGAATGATTTGCAAATTTGAATCACAAACGTGTTGGAATTTAAAAAATAGTTGAATAATTGAATCTAATAAGAAAAACAAATATTTGAATGTAACGATAATTAAAGACATACAAAATCCATGCCCTCATATAAAGTAAACAATGAATTAAATCATACAAAAAATTTGCTAAATTTGTTTTTAAGCGTAAAGATAAATATATCGAATGTTTCATATGTTTAAATAAATTATCAGTCATATTATCAAAAATTTTAAAAAATTGTGTTCATTAAAATTAAGTAAAAAATGAGAACATATTGTCGCACATTGAAAAATAAAAGGGGTTTTAAAAGTATTTCCGTTTTGAAGGTTTCATCTTAAGAATCTAAAGCCTTCCTCTTCTAAGTTTTTTGGGACAAATTATATTTTTTTTACAAAGATTCAAAATTTACTTACTTTAGCAGTAATTTATGCCGTTATCATCAATAAAAAAAGTACCAATAATAAAATCGCGTTTATGTAGTTTATTATTGATCGTTAGTGCTGTCAGATATTTAAAAATTTATTTATTTATTTTATTTCCACATCATAATGTAATACTTTCTGTTACCATGCGAATAAACGCTTGCAATAACCTAGTGAGTTATGTTTAATATCCAGTATTTTATATTCCCTTCAACTACATTTTAATGAACAAACTTATAATAAGTGGACCTCCACTCCATAATATACCATTCATAAAAAAACTAAATTATCTTGAGTTATGTAACACACGTGTACACACAGGAATGTTTATAAGAATTTTAAATTTATATCGATATTCTTAATTATATAATTGGATTTCGCTGTCGCCTCGATTATATGCCAAAGAAGGTCAAATTGTTTACCGTAACTCTCAAACTGATTTTTTATAACCATTTAATATTATTTCAATACCATTAAGCTAATAAAGAGCTCATAAAAAATTATTTTAAAGTTAATTTAAATTGAAACGTTCAAAGATAACGATTTTCATATTTTAAGCTTATATGCAATTTTTCAACCTTAATATCCATCTTGAAAAAAAAATTACATAATTAAAACATTTAAAGAAATTTTTATCACACTCTTGCTTACTTAATGTTTAAAACATATGTTTGGTAAGTTGTCAAGTCACGGTCAAAATTAATAATTATAATTATATAAAAGGGACCGTAAAATTGTATTATATGTAATACACGTCAAATTGTCAGTGAATAAAACAAGGGGAAATCTCGTTTGACCATATTATGAAAAATAATTACATAATTTGTATTATTAATGATTTCAATGCAATTTATTCAAGTTGCGCCTTTCTCGAAGCCCATTAAAAAAACTAAACAAAACCGGAATTAACTCGTTCAAAACTATGTTAGTATTATGTTCCTTTCCATTCCAAGTGGCCTCATCCGTGGTTTAATTACGCGGCCTGAAGATAGTAAATATCTGTGTTAACTTGAGACATTTCAAATTATGCAATACTCCTAGATCCTATCTCGCGCTGGGACTTTTTAAATAAACTTATATATAATCAAATCCTCGCAATGTAATATAAGTTTATGCCAAAATAACTTTATAAAAAAAGCATTGTATGAGTAAAACTAAATTCAAAGATGCTAGTACACATACTAACGGATCCGGATGATCCAATCACTGTAGCTAACAATTAATTATAAGCCACCCGCGCGGCAAATAGTAATAATAGCCAAAATCAGATTAGGGTAAAAAACCTTTACTGCGTACTTCGTTTACTCCAGTGAGCTTCCGTCCTGCCCTTCAGGCGATTAACCACCCCGCGACGGCCCAAGCCGAGGTTCGAGTCTCACAGGCCATGCTACGCTCGCCAAAACAGCCCGAGCTGAGCTGTAAAGGTCCTTAAGGCCAACATCGAGATTCCATAAAAAAAAATGGACAAAAAAGGTATCCTAAGGATATAAAGAGAAGCAAGGAAAGACTAGGTAGTCGTTTGGAGCACGACATAATGAGGAGAGTCGGGGTAGAATAGTATAGAATAGCGAGGGACAGCTCATAATGGCGACATTCAGTGGAGGCCTTTGTCGAGAGATAAGCTGATTAGTTGAAATAGTTTACAAAAATGCTGTAAATTGTTTTTAAAAATATCTTGACAAAAAAGGTTATGGTTAGGGAAATCGTTTAGCTAGTTCTGTCCGCTTCGATAAGAAATAAAACCTTTTCTGTGTCTTTTTACCGGTTAATTGTTTCAACAAGGGACAGTCAAATGTTAATATTGATTACAATAAATCTGTATACTAACTATGCTTTGATATGATATATAAAGGTAAGATTTATAGACGAAACAAAACACAAACTATGACTCATTTTTGACGTACGCAACCCATAGTTTAGTCCAGCCTTCTTACCCTTCAGACGTGGGTTGATTAGAAGTATATGGCTATGTTCACATGTAACGCGCGTTAACGCGCGTCAACGCGCGATCAAATTTGAAGAGAGTTCAGATGATGAGCGCTAATGCGCGTTGCGAGAGTACTCGTCAGTCTAGTTCGGTAGAACGTAGAAAATAGACGTGGAAGAGGCTATTATTTTGTGGTTATATTATAAAGAAAAATATAGAAAAAGAAAATAGACCCAGTTTGTTATAAATATAATTACGAAAATTAACAAAATTACATGCGATCGCGATGAAAGCGCGCGCTCAACTGAACAGCATACGGACATTACATTAATATCAAAGCGCGCGTCAACGCGCGATCACCTGCGTCTAGAGACTTTTTCTCTGAGCGCTGTTGACGCGCGTTAACGCACGCTCATGTGAACAGTTGTATGAAAATACCACAATATCTAGTCGCGCGATTTGAAATTCAAGCGCGTCAAGTTTTTGCCATCTGAACATAGCGTATAGAGTTTGTTAGGCATAACATTCGCAGACTAGCTTTAAAAAAAAAATAAACGTTACGATTTAGTAAAAGTGCTCGTATAAAAGGTAATATATCGCTTAGTGATTGGAAGACTTTTGACCGGGTTCTTTGTTCTAATTAGAAATATTCTTCTGTCAAAATCGTTCAAACACTAATGATTAATTTGTGTAAGATCTTGACATGCAAGGGGTATATAAACAAATAAAAAGCCCGCCGTGTGGTTAAATAATTTATCTTTATAGATTTTGTACGTGTGAATAAAATGGTGCCAAAGTACCAACTTCGATTTACGTCCAAAATCCAACCATATCATTGTGTATTTTACCTTATTCCACCGCTTGGAAATAGCATTTAATATATCGAATGCTTCCAAATAAGCCATGGTCAACCATTGCTTAAATTGAAGTTAAGATCTGAACTTAATTAGCGCGAGCTTTTTATGTTAATTTGAGCGAATATGACCGTTGCTAGGGAAAGAATTATAATTAACAAAAAATCTTTTATCTGACACGTCCAGTCGGGAAATAAATTTATGTGAAATAGTAATTATTTCAGATAAGGTAGTAAAGCTCTAGTAATGCCATAAAGTTAATTGTCAGTTATATGATGAAATAAGGAAAAATATTTAATTATCAAGAAATTTATTAATTTATCGTAATTCTGATTTCAATGAAAAATTATTCTAGAGGATATTTTGGTGTTGCGTGATGGCTAAGGCTACTTTCACAGTTAAAAAAGTAGTGAACAATTTATTACTTTAAGTTTTTAAGGAAACAAACACGTTTAATACAATTTTACCAAACTTATTTGGATTTAATAATTTCAAAAACTGACGTTTTACATGCTTTATATCAGGCATGGTTCTCTACAATTTATTGTAGAGAACCATGCCTGATAAATAACTGAGATTATCGCGATTAATCCAGTAGTAAAAGCCAATAAAGGTTTAATTACCGCTGAATATTTATTCAGTATTTTTTTTGAAATCAGTGTATAATGTACCTTTTACAGTAATTAAAACTCAGCCTTTTTTGGTTAAAATTGGCCTTAAAATATTTAAGAAACAATTTACTAAACAGCAATACAAATTTCTCAGAATCTGAATCCCTTTGAGATATATTTTTGGTTTGAAATTTTCTTTAAAGACTATTTGGATGTACTTTTTTCAAAGATTTAAATATAAATATTTAAAGCAATCATTAAATAATAGTTTGAAGCTTCCTTTCACCGATCTAAGCAAAGGTGGGTGTACTTGATTCGTCAGAATACGTCTTAATCTTAACCCAATCGACCATATGGTCAGGTCAGGCTTCAAATCTAAAGCACTCTACGTTAATAACCAAATTGAGCTTATCGGTGAGTGAAATCAGTTATAATATAACCGTTTAATTCATTCGATACTATAGATTAAATATATAGACGTAGAAATAGCGTATGTATACGGTTGTACAAGACGCATAAATAAAGGATCTCAATAAAACACCTTTCCATTTACTCACTTCTCGTCTTTAAAGATAGCTTTTGTAGTATTTCCTTTAATTTCGACGATGTTGTGTTTGTTTCGTCGAACGGTACGATAGGTATCGTGTCGTCTCTCTTCTCCAATACCGTGAATATTGCGCTGAGAGTGAGAAAACAGGGGCTGTTTCCTTTTCCAGCTGACAATTTTGTGTTGTGGTATAGCATGCCCAGCTTCCGCCATTTAAACTCCTGAAACAAAAACATATGTAAAGATGTGTAAGTCGTAAGTTGTTTTCGATAAATATTTAAGATAAAATCTATGCGATGTCGCAATAATCTGTATTCAATGACCATTCAGAGAAAACATTTTACCCAAATTTTAATAGTAATCTGTAGTAGGGCCTATTTATCAAAACGATAATAGTAATTAAAGTTTTACTTTATCTTTTTGATTGTACGTTTTTTGCCGTTTTCTCAATGGTGTTGTGTTCACATTGGTACGCTGAGAGTTTACTACGAGTGTGAGGTCAAATTAATACTGCGCACTTCAGTTGTTAATGGTACCAACTATATGTTATTTTCATACAATCATTATTATCGACTATATTTTTTATATCTTTAAGTTTTAAATTAATTAATTTTGTGGGTTAATGTTTTATTTTTATTTTTTAAATATTGCCACCGCTTCGTTAGTTGCGTAAAGGTAATTAAATTATATATTGCTAATATAACTATTTATATATTAAGAATAGTACAACTAAGCTACGGAATTTAAACCCCCATTAGTTCATCCAGGAAGCATAGGACTGCGAATGACAAAATATAAAATTATATTTTGTGCATCTTATTATGTTATTTCTTTAAATTAAAAATATTATATATTATAATATAGGTCAGACACATTGGTGTTATTAAGTAATAGTTAATAAGTTGGTAGGGACAGAAGGCCCTAAAAATATCTTTTTTGCGGAAATCAAACCTAGAACCACTAAAGTACATGTCATTCAGTAAGTAATGGTGGCGAGATTTATTGAATATAAAAAATACAATAATTTATCACATATTAAGATTTATTAATCAGATGGATATTGAACAATTTAGAAATAGTCATAACAGAAAGCCGGTTATTAATAGATAAGAATATATTGCAATGTGCAAGGCCATTGGATACTAAAGATTATGTGAATATTACACTAAACATTGTATTTACGTACGCGGGTATAATTTTAACTGGATTAACATGTATATAAGTAATGGATTTTTTTAAATTTGAAGGAGAATAATAAACAGAAGACGAAATGGCAGGTTTTGTTTGATTGACATTGGTCGAATAAAATTACGGATCGTGTTTCGTGTAGGTGATTAGACGAGAGATGATCTATTGTTTTGTCTTTCCTTTGTTCTCACCTAGTTCTTTCTAGACGCATTATAAGTGGAATCCTTTTCTGAATCTTATATCATAAGCTTATATATATAGATATTACTACTATTACTATTTCGTAGGTTTAAAGTTTAAATGTTTGATGTCTGTCCTATGAACTTACCAAAATAAAGGTAATGCGTAAACACGTTCTTATATCAATAATTATAAAGTGTTAATGTATATACAAACACGACGTTATCGTTACAAGATCTAAACCAATATATAGCATAAAGTCGATAAGATTTAAAACTTGTGTCTTTATCGGTTTTTAAAGCGAAAACCATTTAATTTTTTTAATTATATACCCTTGCAAGTTGGTTGGAACAATAAATTCAATCTTCGAATAATTTACTTAGCATTTTACATGAAAATTGATATCATAATATGTGTAATCTTGTGTAGCGCGTAATACGATATTTCCTGTGATACGGTTAGCAAATAACTATTAATTATTATTCGCTTATCTAAACCACTATTGGTTGCTATTTAGATTTATATGCATGATGTTTACATACTTGATATTGATAATTGCTGTGATATTTTGCTTGATTAATTTTAACAACTATGTACATCAACTCATAACATCTTTGACGACGCCAACATCATCCAATTCATAAAGTGCAACAGGCTCAAGTGGTTGGGACATGTCCACCGAATGCCAGACGATAGAACCCCAAGGACCTTACTGAACTTACAATCCGGTGAGTTGGAGTAGTCAAGGACCTCGAAACAATAGGGGTTCGAAGTTGGACGCGGGAAGCTGGATAGGTTGCGATGGCGAAGTGTAGGTACTTGAGGAGGCCACAAGGGGCTGTATAGCCATTGATGATGATGATGATGAACATCAATACAAAAAAAAATATATTATACTTTAAGAGAGAATGGTCGTTGATACTATGCTGAAGCCACAACGGAAAGTAATGTACAATAACAACACGTGAAAAGTACCAACTGAATTTACTTTTTTAATATGAGACTGACATTAAATGTGAGGTTATGCCATTCTATTAATGAATTTTATCAACACAAGTAAGAAACCTGTGCGAATAATAATGTTTGTCAATCGTCACGCTTTGTTTAGCACAGATTATAGGGAATCGAGCCAGTGCAGTATGCCAATTTATTATAATTTGCGCTATATAGCCATGATGATCATATGCATATTGCATACCCTATGCATTGCGATCTGAATATTTTTTGGTAGTGAATCTATGGAGTTTTTCACCAGTGAGGCGGATATAGGCAGATATCATTACATTATAGTGAATACAATGTCTCATAAGGAAAATTATATACTAAACAAAATAGATATTATACAGTAAGTATTTATTTATTTTATATTAGAAAGTCGACAGGAGCGTCAAACAGATAAGAACAAATTCATATGCATGTATTATGCGAGAGTTGCAAAAAAGGGAACAATCGACACATTTCATATAACTGAACACAATCTGGTACCTACACACGGCACGAAACATCGTACAAACACGAAAATATTTCTTTGCTGATTGTTCATTTCCCTTAAGGAAAGAACCTTCGTCAATTTGTAACATCAAACAAAAATTACTGCAGATAAACTCTCTATAACATAATTTGAATCCTCAATCCATATCTCACTCATTTAATTTATAAGTTTCTCAAACTATATATATTGTTTCAAAACGCAGCGAGTTGTAGTTTCTTTGTGAGTTTAAACTAACATCAGAAATAACTATTTTGGATCAATCATTATAAGTATGGGGGATGTTTTGTTAACAATACTAATACTAATAAACCTGGTTTTTATCAAACAAAACAACGAAAGAAAAATAAAGTTTGTCCTTATCGCCGAGGCTAAACTACTGGAGTTTGAAACTTTTTGTTTGACAATGGCTGCTTAGACTTCTCGGTCGGTTAAAAATGGATATAATGAACTTAATATCGTAAAGCATTTTTACATCAATAGAAAACAGATAGGGGCTTAGTCAAACATGTAAAATGACAGTTCCTGTCGACAAATTTTCATACAAATTTAGTTTTCGATTTTCTACATACAGGTCCAGGTCGCTATGTCCAGGTGCCCCCAGGTCGCTATGTGTTAGGCATAGACTGCGCAATTTGCTCAGATTTCGCAAACATCTACGAATTTAATACATCCGAGTCACAAAATGACCGTTTGCATGAATGATAAATATGGTAAAAAAAATGTTGTCTAAACTTCTCAAATGCCACTAAAATACGTTGGTATTTAAATTATTTAAAAAGAGTTATTTCTAATAAAGTTAAGGTGTAGAAAGGTGTAAAAGAATATTTAATATTTACAAGTCAAACATTTTTATATTTGTTTTGGATCAGTATTACACCAAAGTTGTAGTGTAATAAGTACACAAGTGTTGTACGTAAAAAATACATTTAATTTATGCATTTCCCAATAGTTAAACTAATGTTGTAAATAACGACCTTGACACGAAAGTAATAATAAAATCGTTAATCATATAAATTAATGGTTATTGCATAACGAACTTATCACAAATTTAAAACTTTTTTTTTCTTAAATTTAAATATGTAGCACTGAAGATAAATAACAACTTTATTGTAAAGGTATAAATATTAAATATTTCTAACTCTTCTTATACCCAAATTTAAAATAACTTTTTGGAAAATATTCAATTTATTGACGTCATTAAATGTTTTAAAAAAGAAAAGCAACGATCACTTGTTATTTACATAATTCCGTGGAATGCGTAAGAGTTTTTTTTTAAGAGCGCCCAATTTTATATATTGTTAATATATAACTAGCTTATTACATATTTAATGGAAGTTTACATACTATGAGGATAAATGAAGATGCATAGATTAGCCGAATTCTGTCAATTTTTATGTAATAAAATACTTGTCTTCAGTGTCACCCAATCTGAAAACTTATTCGGATTGGGAAATTAAAACTAGGACCTCCAAGTTTTCTCACTTTGCGCAATTAAATAAACCATAGATGCGTATTTCTTTAAAAATGTGAAGGTTTGTATAATACAGCCTCAATTTGTCAACTAAATCCTAAAAACCCCTATCGGCATACTCACATTTAAATAACACTTCAATAGAAATAATTATCTTGAGACATTGGTAGAAATATCAAATAATAACAGTTTACCAATATTTTCAGCCATCGACAACACATACATCGGTGCAATAGTAAATTAATAAAAAATAAATCAGAGTCGCTACAACCTCCTTAGTTCCAAGCCTCAGATTTCTGAATCTGTTTCATGATCATTTTTCAATCTAATAGACAACTAGGTGATCAGCCTCCTGTGCCTGACACACGCCGTCGCCGCCGTTTTGGGTCTAGGACATGTCGCTTTCCTCACGATGTTTTCCTTCACCGTTCGAGCGAATGTTAAATGCGCACGTTATAACAATAATAATTTAAATACATGATTATAACAGTAAAGTCATTCGAATGCTAAAGATAAAATTAGAAGATATGCTATTGTGAAACAACAACAATTTGCGGACTTGCCCATCGATATACCATATCGATAACGTGACAGCAATCATTTTCCGAATTTTGTTTTAATACTAGCCTGATTTTATTTTTTATTAAATTAAAAAATATTGTTATAATTAAATGTCCAAGAAGGTTTATGTAACAAACGGATATAAACGGACCCAGAGACAATATTTTTATTTCATATCCAATTATAATAATTCGATAAAAACTTGGTCCTAATAATAGCCTAATCTTATAACTTTAAAAATGGAGTGATTTATCAAAAGGTTTAAATGCCAATTAATAATTAATCCATAACATAGTGCAGCCTTTGATATCCATAACAATAGAGTATTAATTATCCTCATTGATATACAATCACGTGCTATTTTGTTATGCAAGTTATGCAGACGTTATTTACGTAAGAAAAATAATTTATTCCTGATTGTTTGGCGTCTTTAAACAGCCAATGGCAAAAATAGTAAAACGATCTAGAATAGTGTATGACGTTAGTGTAGTGTACTAAATTGTGATTTGAATTAAGAGAACATTATTTAAATTTAAAAATATTGTTTGCAACATTCCATTTAAATTGTTAATTTATTTTTACCTGGCAATTTATAAAAGACAATATAATCTATGACAATTTGAAACAGCTACAGACCTACAGATTAGGGGTACTTTGATTTTAAGATATTTTCATTTATCCATCCCACGTTCCAGAAATACTAATTAATTTCACCTTTCACAAAGGTACTTTGTATTCGAAACGCATTGTTCCTTCTTTAAATACCAATTACGTGCTAACGCTTTGAGCATTTTCTATTTCTTGCTGCTGTGTACTAATATTAAATTAACGATAGCTCCTAACCACACTTATTAATAGAACTGCGAGGACATAATGCAACATATAAACAAAGCGGACAATTACGAAAATAAAACACACAGTAGTTTAGAAACGTATTTTAAAATACAATCACAACATTGAGAGAGAGATTCAATTACCTCAAAAATTTTTCGAATTGCGACGCCGGCTTGGGTGTAGCTGCCCATCATTCTGGTCAAGGTCATAAAGGTCGGGACCTTGTAAGTAAAGGCCTCGGCTTGGGCACCGGCTGTGATTACAGGAATGTTCCACAGACCAGCATACCTCGCCACAGGAGCGATAACATATTCGCATCCTGGTCCGATAAAGGCATCTGAAAAGTTCCCCTGTGTTATTATATATACATATTTTGTCAATGAATATTAGTATAAAAGCTATATATGTGTTCTTTCTGAATATGATTAAGTTCTGATTTGCATAGAAGCTATTTTCAAACAATCAGTTTTAAATATATTATTTTCATTTTAAATTTACTCATATCTAGAACAGAAATATCACCTACAAAGCCTCAATTTAAATTATATGATAAAAACTTACCAGCTGAACCGTTCACGTAGAACTCAAACGCTGCCAAGGGTCCATCGACTGATGAACATCTTGTGTCTCGATAGTCAACCAATATTTTCCAGCCTGGTAATGGGCCATCATCAGCTGTTAAAGCTGGTATAGCCAATTCCACTATCGGCAAAACTTTAGCCAACGAGAACACTTCTCCAGAATCGCCAGGTAATAACACACCCAATTTCACAATTTTATCATTAAACTGATGCCTCTCCGGTCTAAGGTTGAAATTTGTGTGTTTAACACAAAAAGGTTTAGACGCTAGATCGTGAGGGAAGCCAATAGCGCATGACGAATCATAGATCGTTCTATCTGTGTAATCCCGATCAATTGTGAAGTTTGAATAATCTCTCTTATTTTTGTACCGGTTAGAGTATGCTTCAGTTGTTTCATCGTCCATAGAAATATTCTTAAGCTCAGCATTAAAGCTATCAGATAAACGCGGACGTCGCAATTTACTCACAATTAAATTAACATTATGCCTATCATTAAGTTCAATATTTACACTTTTATTAACACTAACATCACACATAGTTATCACATTTAAAACACATACATAGAAAACGAGGAATGATAAAAGTGTTGAGACTTTGACATTTTTTACTTTTCCTTGATGGCTTTTAACCTGGTGTGTTTCAGCATCGTCCATATTTTTGAATTGTATTTCATATTGTCTGTCATGTATATTTCGTCTTCTTCTAAAATTTGCTGGATTCGCGCATAATTTCTTCTTACTTTTGAATGTTTCCACAAAATATGACTGGAGAATCGTCTTCACGATTCCCTCTGTCATTTTCCGAGTTATTTATCTCATATTTCAGTTTAATTTTACTTCCTGCGTCATCTGTTAGGGATATAAAGATTTTAACTCGAAACGGTGGTCGTTTACGAAGGTCGTATTCTACATTAGAATGTATGAATAATTTCTGTTTCACGCAAAACTGGTATGCAATAATTTAAATAGGATGTGAGTTATTTACGCGGTAAAAGTAATAGTTCCAAGTTTACATTTTGTTAAATTTAAAATAAATTCTTTATATGCTTAATGCTTATTCGTTATTGATAACTTTATAAAGTACTGCATAATTAAATGCTATGTGATTTGTGTCTAGATTGAAAATTTTAATTTATTTTAACAAAACCTGTTTATGAATAATTAGATGCGTCCTTCTGTGTCTGTTTTTAATATCTGTATGTTATCGTCACGCTCAAAATGTCATTTTAAGGTTTAATTTAAAATATTAAATAAAACTTATATTTTCGGGAGTAAACTTTTTGACTCTTGACTTTTTTAACTAGGTATAATAATTTTACGATTGAAATTGTGACAATCTTAACAGTGATACATTTTTACGAAAATATGAAAAGTGTGATAATAAAAGGTTTTCAATTCGGGTGCTGAAATAAATAAACGAAAAAGCGTAAAACAGTGTGGAAATACTACCTTTGCGACTCATTCTATAAAAATATATTGCCTGTTTCCTATACCCATTTACAAACAGGCGATTAAACCGAAACAATTATCTAATACTTATTTAATTTATTAATGTTTAAGCGTCTAAATTCAAAAATATTACAAAGACTCAAGGTTCACTTTTCATATAAGAATAAAACCAAAGAATAATTATTTTAGTTAGATTTTTTTGTTATTACACATAAAACAACTGAAGCGCCCTTCAAATAATTTTGTTAAAAACATCGAACAGTCCCTCCAATGAGGCCGTCATCCTCAAATACACAATTTATTTATTTTTTTCTTACTTAACTTCAGGTTCGATCAGGATTTCCCCAAAGGCTAATTAAATCGGTTTAAAAATATCGTAGTTCTATTAAAATTTTATCGCAAAAAGTAATACCGACAAATAAAGTTTAATTAAATTTGTTTGTATTAGATTTTTTAGTTACATTTACTACTCAAAATGCATGTAAAGTTTGTGAGTTTGTAGGATCTGTAGAAGTAGTTTTTAAAAATTACCTATAAAATTTACCTTGTAATGCATGTAACAATTAATCGAATAAAAAAAACGAACGCAAAGTATCGTATAAAACCGTTATCATCTTTTGTTTGAAAGGTACGAAGGAGGACATGACCAAAAACTAGTTCTAAAAATATACATGATTTATTTTTAGACAAAACCTGAAGTCACGGCCATTTGAGTCGTTATGTTTATAAGTAGTACAATTTTTGTTTAATATTTTTTAGTATATATTGTGCTTGCATAGTTTCTGAGATAACATGTTTAAATTCTATGCCGGTGATGTCTATGTTTCCAACTCGAAAGACTCGATCTGTGTTAACTATGAAAGATTCGATATAGAGAAGTCATGGTTTCTTACTAATATTTCGTAAAATATTACACTTCTAAAGGGGATTCTCTCATACAGAGGTTAAAGGAAAAACAATAGATATCTCATATTTCTTTGTAAAGGTCAGTTTATTTAACTTTAAATGTGACAAAAACAAAAACATTTAAATGTCATTTTGGAGGAAAATACAACATGAGAGATCCGGCAGTCGTAAAATATCGACTATATATCGTATATAAAACTTTATATATATTACGTGACGTCGGATTAATCCACGTAGGATTAGTCTTATTCATTTTTTGTCACGTTTATTTGTTTGCAAAGTGACATGAGAGTGATAAGGACAAAACATTGAAGCTTGTCAAAACCTAATTTTTATAAATGACATCTCGGCAGACGAGATGAGCCTCAATAACAAAACTTAAGGAACAAAACCTATTTCATACTTGCTTATTGGATTTATATCTAACATAGCAAGGATATCGTAAAAAACTTTGCGAATAAGATATTTACTTCAAGCTTCGTTAATATTTATTTAAAAAAATAATAAATATTTTAACAATTTTGTTCTAGTTGCCCTGATAATTTTGAGACATTACCTTATTATTTATTTATTATTAACTCCAAAAGATATAAGTAATACATATTACTTAATACTCCATAAGAAAAAAACTGACTAATGCTGATGTATATTTTCACCTACTCAGTAAGTAGACCGCCATTTAAGTAGAACATTTCTTGATAAATGCTGAAATAACTGAATTTATTTCTGTGACAAACATTCAGTTGTTTTGTCTTGTTTATAAAAGTATTTATTGTTATTTGACAAAAATATATAATTCTAGCTGTTATTTCTTTAACAATTGAGTTATTTTTTTCAACAAAATATAAAACAACCGTATTATAACGATGGTAGTGCTTTTCTGTAAAGATTTTGACCTTGATTTGGAAAAAGGATCGTGATTTATAATTAGAACATGTTACTGCGTAATTGAATGTTGTCGAATTATATTGTAAACCAAAGTTAGAGGTATTTTGTATCAAAACTATTGTATAAATACATTCTGCGGAAGTATAATCCTCTTGTTCTGAAATCTAGAATCTGAAGCTGTAGAGGCGGTAAAAGAAGATAAGAGGAGATCAACGACCTGATAGGCGAAACTAGAATAATTAGTGAAGCTAAAGCCTAAAGACTCCGTTGGACTGTTCATCTTGAGAGAATGGAAAAATATTAGTATGACTTATTTTGTTTGCCTGGTTTGTTTGTTAGCGATAAAGCTGACCGTTGCCTCTTTAATAATGCATTTCACTTAAAGTACAAGAAGTAATATGCGAAAAGTATAAGTACACTATTTTTAATAAATAATAAAACAGTATAATTGCATCGGCTTTACGATAGTAATAGTAATCACAGCGTAATTAGAATTTGACAGGTAGAGACGAAAGAGTACTGTAGTTAAGAGTAGAGTAAGACTGATTTAGTTTTAATGAATAAGGCGATATTGTAATATTAAATAAATCGTTCGTGGGCATACATATGTATAAAGATTAGACGTAATAAAGAGTTATGTTCTGTTATCTCTGATTAACCTGAGGTTAAGATGTGGCCTCAAATATAATCTCACAGGAAAATAGTTTAATTAATGATATTTACATCACTATCAAGATCAATGTTGTGTACGTTCTTTATTGGGTAAGTTAAATGTCCTACTTTGGTCAGACACATTATATTATTTAATAAAACACTATTTTGACCGGATTGAAGTTATGTATTATTATAAATTTACAACTATTTAACATAATTTTAAATTTATCCGACGACGCACCGTGACCACGCACGCTGTAAAGCACGCGAAACGTCGGATAAATTTAAAATTATGTTAAATAGTTGTAAATTTATAATAATACATAATCAATCCGGTCAAAATAGTGTTTTATTAAATGAATAAAAGTTATGTTAATCAAAGACAATACTACATTATATTATAATATTATTACTACTTTCTCCGTGATTTTGTTCATTGGTATGTATTATGGGTTAAATTCACGACGAAACAATAAATATTTTATATTGGTAAGTAGGTAAGTATGTAAGTCAGTATATGCCTGGTAGGCATACACTGATCACCTACTTAGAAAATGTCGTCTCCTAGACGGAACTGCAATAGCAAAAGTCAACTCCAGTACCTAATGTACCCGAGACAACTACGTACTGAGTAATCGGCGATTGTGTGGACGTGCACGCCATCGTGGACAATCATTCCTTTGATGTACCGACACAAAGGCGATTACGTACAAACATCGCCGATGATGGCCGATCACAGACATTTATGCCGTCTACACTAACGTGATTGCCTTTAGTCGGACATCATGGCCCAATGTGAAGAGGTAAAGATCACACTTTGCTGATTAGACCATCACGTATAGGCCCTTAAGTGTAATATTGCATACAATGTCGTTTTGTACGAATCGTCGAAAAACTAATATTTTAAATGCTAAAAATAGCCTGCGTTATATCAGAATACCAAAAATAAAAGTTTAAAATCGTCGGATATTTTCGCGTGCCGATTTATAAGTTACATATCTACTTTTGGTGAACAAAACAGGATTGGAACCTCATTATCCCTTCCGTAAAAGCGTTTATTCGCGTACACGTGATAAGATGTCGTCAAGGTGATAATTTACACTGTATGATAATCATATGTATGTCCTTATTTAAGCTAATATTTGTTTAAACTTGAAATAAATTTTCTTGAAACATATTTAATTTCAGATACTTAAAGGCAAAACGTTTGAAAAAATAACAATCCCTCTAAAGGTATTTTACATGTCCCTCAAATAAGAATTATAAATATATTGTGTACTACACTTAGTACGCTTACGTTGAAATACGTTTCAAATGAAGAAAAAAACACAAAACAATTTCAATAACTGTAAATTTAAAGTTGAATTTTATTTGGATTTTGACACATATCTGTAGTTAAGTTTTACTTTATAGGCAAATATAAAGGCATCTATCAACAATTTGTATACATACATATTATATATGTTTTGCCTGTATATAAAAAGATCCTTGGAAAAATCACATTGCCACAAACGTGTTATTTGAAAGTGAAAGAAAATTTGCATAACAATGAAAAAATCTCGCGTCTACAAATGAACATGAATAAATTCAAAATACAAACTAATTTATACTATTAACTTCAGTGTTATTTGGTATAGCATCAAGCTTGTACGATATTGTAGTATTATACTGGTTATTAATAAATTTCTCACGCACCTTATCAGCCTAATTGTATTTCATATCATCTGAGTCATACCGAAATATGTCGCATAACTGAAGATTGACCCTCTTTCCATGAAGCGAATGCCCTGAGTAGCTAAAAATAATTTTCGGAAATCTGAATCTGTGGTAACGAGTTATTTTAAACGAGTAACGAGCTTTTTGCATCCGATATAGAATTTCGACGACTTTAATTAACCGTT